CAATCTGGGTTTCTCAAGATTTTTTCTTTTATAATATAACAGTAGTATACACATGAAAATATGCAAGATATTTGGGAGCCTCTTTCTTTCGTCCATCAAATTCCATCTTATGAAGTACATGGACAAGGACATGTTTAGTAGAAAGGATTATCCACTGCAAACTGTACTTGCCACATGTAAGCCAGCTCAGCATTTTTGTGGGCAATTGAAAAAGAATTTGAAGAAAGGGGAAGTGGGATGATGGCTTGGCTTCTGCTCCATAAGAATATGTCTCCACAAGTTTTACATGATACATAGATAATAAGAATCTATTGGTATTAAAAATAGAAATTATTTTAAAACATCCATTTAATTTTACTTTAAAATTAAATTGATAAAATTTTGTCTTTTACATCTGTAATAACAAGTGAGGCTTGCAACAAAATGTTTTGTTTTATCCTTTTCTCATAAGAAGCATGGCCCTTTTCACGGCTCAGAACCTTGAACAGAAAAACATAATGTTCTGTTGAAATCTCTGAGATTGGAAATGGGTGAAGGACAGCATTCTGCCAATTCAGACCTTCTCTTGCTGTGACTGTATATTCCAAGTAGGGTTTTAAGTTGAGACTATATATTCCTAGTAGGGTCTTTATGTAGTGGTAGATATGAACCTTCAGGATTTGAATAGGATTGTTATTGACAGGATGCCTGGAAGTTAGGGGGCTGCCATAAGTTGAAAATGACTTTAATTAACAACAAAGTGAGAGAGATGGAAAGGAAAAAAGGTAACTTTTCTCCCCTACTTTCTCCTGAAACTTCCTTGTGTTATACAGGAATAATTTGTTTAACCTCAAGCCATATATTCCTCCATACTAACTCTACCTTGCTCCCAGGATGCTTATTATAATTGTTTAGAACAAGTTAGCTCTTTTGTTCACTCTCTGTCCATTTTTCTCACACTCTCTAGCTGGTATAAAATTTTCTGTGCCATGGCTAGTTTCAAACCAACACATAAAGGATGGTGACGTTAGCCGCCTTGACCTGATCATACAAAGCTAATGGATGAGCAGGATGGACACACAATATCCCATGTGGGAATTTCTTAGATGTTCATAAATTAAATATGAAGTTCTGAAAAAAGTGTTTAAGATTATTTGACTTCAGACAGCTATATGTGATTTGAAGCATCATTGGAGCTCCTTATGGTGTAATTAATGTTTAAGTGCATTCATGTTCAAAACACAAACAGAAGCCAGTCTTTCCTGTGATATTGGAGCATGCCTTACACGCATTCTGTGTTCCTTTCCCACTTTAAACCTTTGCATGATTACACTTTAGAGATTCAAGAGAACTATTAGGACAGCAGGAGTGGTGGATTGTGTGAATAGTAAAATGGGAGTAGGTTATAAATATGGTTCTTCTGATAGAATCCAGAGCCTCTGATGGACAAAAGGGGACACGACTGGATATACTGCTGTGGTCTTGTGCTCATTCTAATGGATTTACTCAGATCTTCTGTTGAGACATCTGCAAATTCAAATTTTTGTAAACACCAAATAGTTCCCTCCATGATGCTTGTAATATTTTTCCTAATGGTAACCACAAGGGGTTAAATAGAAGCTGATGGGATAGTGTTGTTGTATCAAATGGAATGTAAACTGTTTATTTAAGTTAGGAATATATACATGTGTAAGTGGAGCTGGTTGATCCCCGTATCTCCCCACACCATATTAAGGTGCATTAAAAATGGCATCATATCATTTCCAGATGGAATTATGTTGTGATTTCCAGGGTTTTTGTGTGTGTGATTTTGGCTTTCTTTCTTTACATGTTGACTCACCTTTTCACAATTAATCCAATGGGTTTCTTTTGCTTGAAACTGCATCTTGTATTATATGAATATATGATATGAGTTTTTCAGTTACTTACTGGCAATATGTTTTTGGAGGTGAAGTAGGTATGCAGAATGGTATACATTTTAGGAAAAAGCAAGACTACCATAGTTCTTGGTTGCTTCCTCCTTTTGGATCAACTAACAATGGCCCCTTCCACACAGCTGTATAAAATCCACATTGAACTGGATTATATAGCAGTGTGGACTCAGATAATTCAGTTCAAAGCAAATATTGTGGATTAATTGCCTTGAAATTCTGGGATATATGGCAGTGTGGAAGGGCTTAATGTTTTTCTAAGATAAACAAATTATTAACTCTATATTATTTTGAAGGAATGCATCATTTTAAAAATATCAAATGTAATGTGACCATGTACAAAAGTATTTTTCTTTGCCTTCTTATATGTTGGTCATGTAGGATTTGTATGTTTATATGGCTTAGTTGTCTTTCAACATAGCAGCCTTGTCTTATGGATTGTATATGTAAACTTTCTTTAGATGCCTAAAACCGCTGCACCTTTGCTGAAAACCTTCCAAAAAGGCAGTTTTTCCTGCATAATTCATTTTTGTTTTGTTTTCAAATGAACTTATTAGGCCCTTGAATTTAAATGTGACTTCAGCATGAAATATTATTGCTGAATTTTATGAGGTGCACTGAATTTTCAGGATAAGTTATACAGTCATCTGTTATTCCTACTTTTTAATGATTTTCAGTGCCAGACAGCCAACCTTTCTTTCAATTAATTCTCCTCATACTTCATGAGTTTTCATCATTTATGCTCCCCTATAATATAGTTTATTATTTTGGTTACAACTACCTTAGAACAAGAAAACTTAAAAGTGCAAAGTTAGCCTGATGAAATTTAAAAGCTGACAAGTTCTTTAACTATATAGTTACAAAGGGGCAATTGCACATACTGAAGTTGGGGTTGGGTGATAAAATGTCAGCTTGTTTCTGAAACATTAACTGTGCCTGATGTATATGGTATTAATAAATAAACTGCAGAGCTTCACAGCTGCTGCACCTTGAAACAAGATCTGGTGAAATGTAATAAGTCTGGTAGCACCACTACTTGTTTCTAGCTTCTAGCTGTGTTCATTTAAGACTTGACTGACAGGTATAACTAAAGCAGTCCGTCTTTCATTTGAACATTTTCAGGATTGTTGTTTTTGTATTGAAATTATTTATCACAATCCTGTGGCGGTTCCTTTATTTTACAATGAACCTCTAAGGCAATTTAATACTTTAAATATTAAAGCTGCTTAATTCTGGAGACTTTCCTTGTGTTCCTGTATTTAATGCTGTATCAGCAATGCCTATGCTAATTCTTGTGTTCAGAGGCTTTAACACTCTGATTGAAGTCTCCAGATGCAGATGTGTGGTGTATGAGTTAAAGACCCAAGGAGGTCATTATTTATATCTAATTTAATTAGTTCATGCTCACCTCATTGATTGATCTACTGACAAACAAAGGGCCTTTCAATGCTATTTCCCAAACCCATTAGACTAGCAGTGTGTGTGATACCTTTGAAAGGTCCTTGGCATAGCTGCTGCTTGAAGACTTTGGTTATATTTGGGCTGTGTGGAGAAATGGGTCAACTGCAAGGAAGCCAAGACTGTTATTATATAGTTGGTACATCTGCAAAGAGGTGTGAGGGCTTGGGCAAGAGAGCAGCTTGAGTAAAGGATGGTGAAATAGAGCACCATCATCTTCCCTACACCACAGGTTCAGCTTGGGTCCACATTTGTGATCCACCTTTAAACATTATCACAAACATGTGAATATATGACAGCTAGAACAGTGGATTGCGATAGTAAGAAAACCTTGCTTTTTCCCTATAGCTAGACTCAACATACTAAGAGCAATATATGCACGAGGTATAAAACAGTTCCATGTGTTTGCCAATGGGATTTTGTTGACTAAATTCCTTTAGTTAAGTGCCTTTAGTTAAGATTCATTTTTTCATTTTAAAATGCAAAAAATAGACTTGCTGTGCATTATTCTTATGCCCCAAGTAATAGAAAATACACATATTTGTTGAAGAATCTTTTTCAGTCTTGTATTTTAGACCGGACTGAGAGAATTTTCATGTATAGGATGATGGAGGTACTAAGTAAAATTCTGTCTGTTAATCTGTTTACCTTTGTCCCCTTTTCTGTCTCCTTTTTAGTTTCACTAAATAATATGGTCTCTATGTTTGTTCAATGCAGCTCTGTCTCAACTACTATACCATTATCTCCTTGGTGGTCTTCACATTTTGATAACCATGTATTTGTTGGAGCACTCTGGGAAACTCATGTTTTCAGTATAGATATAAACCAGCTGTTATCCATCTTTCTATTGGACTATTATTATTATTATTATTTTGTAGCTACCTAAGTATGGAAATGTAAACCCTGGTCCATTTAAATACAGTGTCAGGAGATCTGGGGGGGGGGAGAGCCATCTTCCTTACATGGCAGGAATAAACTGTTTTGTCAGATATTTCAGATGCTGCCATGAATATCTGTTGAGTCCATAAACAGAACTTGTGAAAAATTAAATGTGTTTGGATTTAAATGTGAACAAAGAGGGAAAGATGCAAATAGTATCAAAATCAACATGCTTCTAATATCTACCTTTAAAGTTTGCCAAACTCTTTCACACAAAAGGGGCTCTCAAAACCCATTCTGATGCTAAAAGTTGCACTCTTTCTTAACTGCCAGACATGCCAATCTGTAAACATTTCAGGGAGAATTTTACACCACCTCATCTTTATGTCAGACAGCATTTAATGGTTCAATGATATTGTGCCCCAGATCTTGGCAGCTATCCTCCAGGGACCAACTTTGGGGGATTACATTGACATTCAGTCAGTGGACCATGTCCAATGTAAACTAGATGGGGACCATTTAAAATCAGTTACTATCAACAAGTCAAATTAGCTTTACTTATTTTAGAAGCTTTTGTCCAAAGATTTCATAGCAGCATTGAATTTTTACAGACACAGTCTTGTTTATGGGCTTTGTTTGGGAAAGGTTCCTGAGCATCAGTATGAGCTCCATTTCCATTATTTAATGTTTAGTAATGTGCAGTGCTTTTATGTAATAAACAAATAATGACCTTTCCCCCTTTTTCTTCCATAGGTAGAAATAACTCTTCAAGATGTCAATGACAACCCACCAGTGTTTCCCACAGATATGCTTGATTTGACTGTTGAAGAGAATATAGGAGATGGGTCTAAAATAATGCAGCTGACAGCCATGGATGCTGATGAGGTAGAAGATTATTACTTATTTGAACAATGGTGTTACCCAATTTTCTTAACAATATATTTTATCTGATGTTTTTAATTGTGTGTTCTATTTGTAATTTTTGGGCTTGTCCCTTGTAAGCTGCCCCGAGTCCCCTTGGGAAGATGGTTGGCGGGGTATAAAAATAAAGTTGGTGTTGTTATTATTATTATTATTATTATTATTATTATTATTATTATTAAAAATGTTAGGCTTAAATTTAAACTGGGCATTCAATTTTTCCTTAGAGGAGAACAGTGGAAGAGAAGAAAATTAGGATCCATGAAATGTTGTAGTAATGTGTCTTATGGGGATACACTAAGGAGAATTCCTACCTATTCTCATTTTTACTACTACTTCTTTTGGTCATGGTTTCTGCCTTATGTCCATCTGCCAAAAATATAGATCAGTGTCTAAGAATGCACATATGACAGGAAGGAGCTTTAGTCAGTTGTCACAAATGCCTGATATACAGGAGATTAAACCCAATGTAAGTCCCCTTTAGAGTAGACACAATGAAATATCCCATTGATTTCAGTTAATCTAATGTTGGTAGGACAAGTGTGGTAATTTACTCATAGAGCAACTACCTGGAATCTGTATTAATATAAAACGACAAGACTAGGTTAACACCCATTCTCTAAAACATGTTTAGAGTGCCTTACTTGTATATATGCATACAAACACTCACAAACGGTCAGGAAGTAAGATATTCAAGGTAAACTGGACATGAGTGAGACTTATTAGTCACATTTGAGACCCATTCATTTTATTAGGTCTACTCTCTAAATAGACAAACATTGGATTTTTTCAGTGTAATCTGTATTAGTTTTCATTTTGAGGTAGAAAAGAAGAGACTGAAATATTTAAATTAGACTCTGCTGGGTACTAGGATAAATTCAGGTTGCACCTGTCACTCGTCCAACAGCTACTAGGAAAAACAAAAGAGAAGCAATACTTGATCCCTTTGTTTAACAATTATACCTAAATTCAATACCATTTTAATTGCTGGGTATACTAGTTGTAAAAACAATTACTGATAAAGAACTAAATTGTATACTTCCCCCAAAGTCTTTGATGCAGGAACCTGTTCCTTTAACAATGTAGATTTTCCCTGCCTGTTGAATACTTTCAGATCTTAGTATTATCTCACTCAGGTATGGACAAACTTCAGCCCTCCAGATGTTTTGGACTTCAACTCCCACAATTCCTAAAGGCCTCAGGCCCTTTCTTTAAATGGCTGTGGGGAAAAGGAAGAGGCCTGCGGCTATTAGGAATTGTGGGAGTTGAACTCCAAGACACATAGAGGGCTGAGGTTTGCCCGTGCCTGATCTAACTGATATGAATTCTTTTAGTATAAAAGTAAAAGTGGTGCTTTCCATAAATTTGTATTCCAAATCAACAGTTTCATTTTGATTAAAATTGTTTGGAAGGATGAAAATGGTTTACTATCACTGTCTTTGTTATTATCCTTGTGTAGGGGGCAAATGCTCTGGTAACATACACTATCATCAGTGGTGCAGATGGCAGCTTTCATATTGATCCAGAATCAGGAGAATTGATAGCCACCAAGCGTTTGGACCGAGAACGCCGCTCCAAATATTCTCTGCTGGTCCGTGCTGATGATGGCTTACAGTCTTCAGATATGAGAATAAACATAACTGTTAGTGATGTTAATGATCATATTCCCAAATTCTCCAAGTTATGGTATTCTTTTGACATCCCAGAAGATACTACTCCAGGTAAATAAGAGTCTTAAACACACTTACATAGTGTGTAGTTAACACTAGCTTCTTCAGCAATATTATCCTGTATTCAGTATATGGCATAACACTCATGAAAACAAAATCAGTAGGTGAAAGCAGAATATATGCAACATCTCTTCTTCCAAGTTGGGTAACAGAACTGAATAACAAGAATAAAGCTGTGCATCTCTCTGGAACTTCTCCCATGCACCTACACATGAGAAGCAATAGCTGTGCTTGGAAGGGATGACTGCTACTGAAAATTGGAAAGTAGGATGTATCTTTGTCCCACTTGATGGAAGTTTTCTACTTAGAGCTATAACAAATTAAAGTTACAGTGTCTCATTCCCGTCCCCCTCCCCACACGCACATACTAGAAGATCCTCAAGAGCAGGATGCAATGAGTGTTGGAGAGGACTGTGGAGGAGAAATAGAAACCACAATTGTGAGTGTTGGATTTTAGCACATTACTGTTAGACTATTAGATTTTAGCCTACAGCACACAGCATTTTTATGTCATTTAAGCAGCACTGCTAATCAGACCAGTGTCTTGACTTGTGTATTATATTCCCTGCTCAAAATTTTGTTAAGCTAACTAAACATGGGGTACATTATAGGGGGTATATTCAATTTATTTATTTATTTATTTATTTAATACACTTGTATACCGCTAATATCTCAGCCTAAGTCGGCGACTCATTGCGGTTTACAACAATTAAAAACAATATACAATTTAAAACAACAACACATAGACAATACAAATTATTGGGCCACCAATAACAATACCATGTATCTCGTCACTAAAATCACAGTCCAGAATTCGTCATCCATAATTAACCAGTCCTTAGTCCATAAAATTCGGTGATAACAAACTAACCGAATGCTTGTTTACACAACCATGTTTTTAATCTCTTCCGAAACACCATCAGCGAAGAGGCTGATCGTATCTCTATAGGGAGGGTGTTCCAAAGCCAAGGGGCCACCACAGAAAAGGCCCTGTCTCTCGTTCCCACCAGCCGCACTTGGGAAGCCGGTGGGATAGAGAGCAGGGACTCTCCAGAAGATCTTAGGGTCCTGGTGGGCTGATAGGCTGAGATACGTTCGGATAGATAAGTTTAATTTAATAATTTAATTAAATAATTTAAGGATGGTTAGTAAGAATTTTAGAATTCTCAGCTAAAGAACTCAGTTGTTTCATTGGACTATGAACCCAAGGATTACATAAGACGTTGTTATGGAATTTAAAGTGCAATATAGTGCTATAATTGTGCTGTGTGAAAAGACCCTATATCCCTCTTCCCTGAACTTCAGAAGGGACTATCATATGCATTGTGCTACCCTGACTTCTTTGACTTACAGAAAAAAAACCTTAATGAAGACTGAGCGAAAATCCCTGTGTGGTGACTGCATTCTCTAAAATCTTTGTTTCAACTATAAAAAGAAAATTTTGAACCCAGCAAGCAAAGTTGCTGAGTTTTTTAAAAATATATTCATTACATATTATAGCTGTTTTGACATTTGCAGATGTTACAATCACAGACTTGCACTGTAAAAGGTCTATGTACAAACAAGTATATCAGCTTTTTTGAAAATATAGTTATCCCTCAAAAAATATTTACACTGAAAGGAAGAACTTTTATCAAAAAATATGCTTAGTTAGATTTTGGTATACATGTATGTTCTGTTCTACCTCTTCTTCATAGTTTTTTCACTTTTTCAATAGTATTTATGGCCAGTTGTATATTGTTGTTTTACCAATAAACATGGAGTAGAACATTTGCTTTGCATACAAAAGATCTCAGATTAATTTCTCAGCTTCTTCCAAAAATGTATTTTGAAACTTCTTATAAAAAAAACCTACAGGGTAAATTGAGGTGTGCAGTAAACAGTGCTTTTTGGGCAGGTTTTTCCATGAACATGTCCCAAAATGTAGAAAAATGGGTAAATTTCACTCACAGGAAGAAAACTATTGAAATTTTTCATTCTTTTATGCAATAATAAAATAGACAATGATCTACCTCACTAGTTTGAAATACTGATTTCTACATGACTTCTGTTTCCGAAACGACTGCATTTGATTATTCATGTTGTGTTTAATTTTTCACCATTTACTCTCTAGGTTCTTTAGTTGCAGCCATCTTAGCTACTGATGAAGATTCTGGTGTAAATGGAGAAATCACATATTCTGTTAGTGAAGATGATGGAGATGGAACATTCTTCCTAAATCCAGTAACTGGTGTTTTTAACTTAACTTGCATGCTGGACTATGAGTTGCAGCAATATTACATCCTTACAATTCGTGCAGAAGATGGAGGCAGACAGTCCACCACTGTCCGAGTTTATATCAACATATTAGATGTAAATGATAATGCACCAGTATTCAGCATGGATTCTTACAGCACATCTTTGATGGAGAACTTGCCTCCAGGATCAACTATCTTTCTTTTCAATGTTACTGATGCAGATGATGGTATGTACTTTACATTTTTAAAATATGTATATTTTATACATATAGGCATGCCTCAGTTAACAGAGACTCTGACAATGTTTTTAAAGAAATAATGCCCAGGAACACATGTGCTTTGTTAACGGGTACACCTGTATATATTTATATGTTTAGTAACACATAAAGAACGTTAACCCACAGTCATTATCATGAAATGATCTCGACCACTTTCCAGCATACATACAAGGTGGTAATTGAAAAGAGGGATCTAAAAAAAAAATCCCCAACTTGGTCAGTTTCCCATGAGCAAAGTTCGCCGGACCTCTGGATGCAATCCTTTATATTCCAAAGAGACATGATTCATGAAAAAAGTTGATAATATTAAAATTGGGTTTTTAAAATAATACAGAGAGAGTGCACACAAGATCATGCTACAGGTTCATAATGTTCAAAATCCTACATTGGAGGAGGGGGGCGGAGGCAGTAGAGTGTAATATTCCACCAGCAATCTTCCCTTTCTCCTTTTTTCTCTTCAACATCCTTATAATCAACTCATAAATAGGAGAGAGGGAGCATTCAGGCACAGTCCAATTTAGGCAACCTACACCTAATTTCCCTGTTGATTTGAAAATATCATGTCTTCCTTCTAATCCTGATATTAAAGAAATTGGTTGTATGGTGAGTGATTGTTGACAAGGAAATACTGAATATCTATTTACACAGAACATGTATATGTACATACATATATATGTACATACAAATGTACATGTACATACATTTATGCAACCCAAGATGATGATGATGTTGGTGATGATGAATATTGATTGATACATTGATTTTTATCTCGCTTTTCTCTCATGGGTGATATTCAAAGTGGCAATTATGTAACTTATGCTGCCAGCAGTATTTTGGAATATAGAGTGTAAAATGTTATATCTTCTATACAGTTTTATTGACAAATTTTGATGTTAAATTATAAAATGTAAGAACTATGACACAATTTGAAGGCAGAATTGATTGAATTTCTATTTATTTGGCACCCCACTTCCATTAATTCAGTGTTTGTCAGCACTGAGGTCAACATGGTTTCCTGTGTTATGATCAAAAGCATGGGTTTATCTTTTGCATGTCTCATTGAATAGCACCCAAAATAATTTGTCTCTGTTTTGAAAACTGTTGTTTCTGAGGCATTATCTGGATCTACGTTTCAATTATGAACCTAGAAGCAAGAGAATACCAGCATTCTGGTTGATTTCCTGTTTTTTCCCAGGATAAACAATGATCAAGATAGGAGAGTTCAGCTGTTTAATATCCATTGTCACTTTTCTGTTTTACACACCCTTTGGAAACAATAGCTTTAGTTCAGGATTATAGATATATATACACACATACACACACATACTCACACACTATAGAAACAAATGAACATCAAAGAGAATTTACTATATCTTGACCAAATAAGATACATTCCTAAGGGCATACCTTAACTGTAAAATTTAATTGCATAGTATAATTAAAAACTCAGATTTCACACAAAAAGCATTTTATAAACTTGCAGCTGTTCAATATTCATATGAAGGCACTGTATATGACCAAGAACCGATGTCCTTGTATGCTTCCTACAAAAATAACAGCAACATGAAACATGATTTTCAAATACATGGATGGAAAGTAATGTCTTATCTTGGATTTTACACGTCAGACTTATCTTCAAAATTCTCGTCCTATTTCTCTGTTTCCTGTGTTCAGTCTCAGTCAAATTGGAATTTCAAACCTTTTTACATTACCTGAGATAGTGAATATTTTATTTATTTTTTACAGTATTTATATTCCTCCCTTCTCACTCCGCAGGGGACTCAGGGCAGATTACAGTGTACATATACATGGTAGACATGCAACGGCATAGACACACAACATATATAGACAGACACACAGAGGCTATTTAACATTCCAGCTTTTTGATGAGGATATTCTGACCACCAGGGGAGCTGTTGCTTCACTGTTCATTTGTGATACTGATGAAGTACTTCCTCATTCTTTGCATGCTTGCTGGAGATTATTATGGTGTTGTAAATTAGTAAAATTAGCCTCCCCACATATGTAGTATCTAAATTTTCTACTTGACAGATGCAACGGTCTTTCAGGTTGCAAAGGTCGACAGCAAGCTACACAAATTGGTTGGAAGCTTACTCTGACCCGGGCTGGCTTCGGACTCATGACCTTTCGGTCAGTAGTGATCTTAATGCAGCTGACTCCCAGCCAGCAAAGAAACAGAGAAATAGGACGAGAATTTTGAAGATAAGTCTGACGTGTAAAATCCAAGATAAGACATTACTTTCCATCCATGTATTTGAAAATCATGTTTCATGTTGCTGTTATTTTTGTAGGAAGCATACAAGGACATCGGTTCTTGGTCATATACAGTGCCTTCATATGAATATTGAACAGCTGCAAGTTTATAAAATGCTTTTTGTGTGAAATCTGAGTTTTTAATTATACTATGCAATTAAATTTTACAGTTAAGGTATGCCCTTAGGAATGTATCTTATTTGGTCAAGATATAGTAAATTCTCTTTGATGTTCATTTGTTTCTATAGTGTGTGAGTATGTGTGTGTATGTGTGTATATARATCTATAATCCTGAACTAAAGCTATTGTTTCCAAAGGGTGTGTAAAACAGAAAAGTGACAATGGATATTAAACAGCTGAACTCTCCTATCTTGATCATTGTTTATCCTGGGAAAAAACAGGAAATCAACCAGAATGCTGGTATTCTCTTGCTGGTATTCTCTTGCTACAGTCCRGCTGCAATTAAGCTATTATATTATCRCAGCCAATTAGTCATAGAATCACAAAACTGAAAGAGGCTTCATGGGCAATGAATACACTCTTTACTCCATCTGAAACAGTGGTTCTCAACCTGTGGGTTCCTTACCAGCTGTTAGGATTTCTGGGAGTTGAAGGCCAAAACATCTGGGGAACCACAGTTTGACAACCACACATCCTGAACTCTAAACTCCTTTTAAAACATCCAGGAAGTATAGGATTTCTAGACTCTTCAGAATTCCAGGAGAGGGGATACCACCACCTTTATAAGCAATTAGTTCCATACTTACTGTCAAGAGGTTTCTTCAAATGTTCAATCAAAATCTACTTTCATCTAACTTCAAACCACTAGACCTGATCCCAGCCTCTGAGGCAGCAGAGAACAATCCTACCTTCTCCATTCTGTGATGGTTTTTGAGGTATTTAAAGAGTGCAATAATGAAGTTCCTTGGTCTCTTCCCTTCAAGCTCAGTTTGGATCCCTCACTCCTTCAGTTTTCCACCATATGTTTTGTTTGTTTTGTTCTCCATATCTTCTATTCTCATTCTCATTGCCTTCCTCTAAACCCACTCTAACTTGATAGATAGATAGATAGATAGATGGATAGATGGATAGATAGATAGATAGATAGATAGTATAAGATTAATTTGGCATGATTTGCTCTTGTAAAAACTCATGTTGGTTTCTGTTGGTCATTCCATTGCCATCAATATAGTTGTAGGCAGACTCATGTATGATTCATTCTAATATTTTCCTGGCATTGAGGTCAAGCTGGCTAGTCTGTAGCTTCCTGTATCATCTTTTTTGACTTTTTTGAAGAAAGGGACAATGTTTCTCATTTCCAGTCCTCATGTATTCTCCAATATCATCAAAAATGATAACAAGTGGTTCCGCAAGCACAACATAAAGTTCCTTCAATGCTTTGGGATAAAGTTCATCTGATTTTGCTGACTTCAACCTTTTAGGTTAACTAGGTGATTCTTAACTAACACCTTATCAATCTTAATATACAATCTAGATTCCTTGCCAAGATCCTTGGTAATTTTTACTTCAATTCTTTATACATTATCATTTTTCTTCTCACTTCCTTCTCAAGTTTGCTATGCAGCCACATTGGTGTTTTTTAGATGTTTTTCATTTTTTCTTTTTCCATTGAGATATTTATGATTGTGTTTTTAGCAACTAATTTATCATGAAATCTTACCCTTTAGCATGTCTTGCCAGTATTCTAAGAAGTATATGCCTGAGGTTGAAGACCTCTCCTGAAATCCAAAGTTTGTATTTACTATACTCTTCCCCCCCCCCCCCCGTTCCAGTCATGAATTCTAGCATCACATGCTTTGATTCCAGTGGCTAACTTCTTCCTGTTGGTTGTGAGAAAGGTCAGAATTTGTCACCACCTTGTTCTTTGCTTCTCCATTTGAAAAAATAATCTTATCTCCCAGGTCATCTGAAATTTGTTGGAAATCTTATGCTTAGAGGTCAGGAGATAATCAGGATAATGAACTGTCCTATAATTATTTGTTCTTGCATCTTGAAGATTTGTAAGATTTGTTTCTCAAAAGCATCATCCACCATGTCATCTTCGTTTGGTGGCTATAGAAAATGCCTGCCACAATGTTGTTCCATTTCTTTCTCCATTTATCTTTACCCAAATGTTCTTAATTGGTCCAGTCTGATCACTTGTGTAAATTTCTACACAAGTGAATTTGTCCTTGACATACAATTCCACCCTCTCCTTTTCCCCTGTCTATGCTTTTTGAATGAATTATATCCTTCACTTGTAATATTTCAATCATGGGAATCATTCAATCAGTACCAAAAACCTTTACTGCTATATGTGTTATACGAGTGATATTAATTTTCTTCCTTGCAATCTGTTGTTGTTTTATTCTGTTCAAATAAGTACAAATGTTGCTTGTAAAGAAATGCCAATTGATATTCATATTCAATTTGTGGTTTCAATGTATATTTGTATTGTACCACAGCATAGTTTTGTATGAAACAGGGAATCATGCTACACATAAAGTAAATAGTACATCCATTGTGCACGTGTGTGTACATGCACATTGTAAGTAAGGTAGAAACTATTTTTGTTTCCTTGAAATATATGGTGATTAGTGCCATGCATTTTAGAGGTCTTAATTTATCCCCTAATAATCTCAGACTGCTACTGGGGAGACTTAGGTCAAAGAATAATACATTTTATTATATCAGTGCCTAATATCATGTTCTACAAAGTGAAAAAATAGAATGTTTAGGAAGGATGAGATAAAAAAAATAAAATCCGTTAAATGCTAACCTCAGCCTTTGTGACCAATTAGAGAGATAACATTTCCACATTATTTATTCAGTGCTGTTAAGTCTCAGCCATTAATGCGGGGACATGAGAAAATAAGAGACATTGGTTTGACTTTACAATGAATAATACAAAAAGAATGGGTTCTGGGTTTTTTTAACTGTCACCATATATTTTCCCAGTACCAGAGTTTCTAACCAGATTTTTCTACAATGCTGTTACAGTTTTAACCTGGTTAAATCCTACTGAAATCAGCATGTGCAGTCCTTATTTCTATATACATGACTGTTTTATATTAGATTTGTGGGCTGCTTCTTTGACCATGTTGCCAAAAGAGTCAGATATGTTTCTCATAGTCTCAGGTGCCATTAAGCAAGACTTACCAGGCAGGGACTTTGTGGCAGAGCCTTCTTCATAAGGGCTCACTCTTCCCAAGAGCCCCTGTGCACTGCTTGGTTTAGTGTGCTACCAACCAGCCAGTCAGGAGGCAGGATCCACCCTGGCATCATCTTTGACTGGGCACTTCTTAAAGGCAGGGGTGCCTAGTGAGCTAGCCAAGTGCAACCTTCTTTCCATGGGGGGGGGGCTTTGTGATGTGTGGCACGGACCCTAGATTCCGTTTGTGTGCCTCCCCCATCTTTCATTGTGAGGGAGAGTGGTTTGTTGGCATCTAGCGGGTGCAGAGGTACTGGTATCCTGGGGTGGAATTGGACGGGTACCTTCACTATGCCCCCATCAGATACTTGGCATTGGTCAGCAGCAGGCTATCCAATTTCCGATCCAGAACCCATGCAGGGCTGCCAACTCTGTGGCATTGTAACCAGTAAACAAGTTGTGGCCTTGTCCAATATCTCATGTTCAGCTGTTTCTTTGGGCAGGTGCAAGAGATGTTGTTGTTATTAATTGTCACCACTACCCACACAATAACAACAAGACTACTAAGAAACAATTACACAGATACACAAATCAATATGGTTTTTGCAAGTCACTATTTTTCTATAAAACCATCTTCCTGTGGGAATAGAAATAGATTTAGAATGAAAAATATAATTTGTAGAAAGCTACAACCTAATTAGAATCCATTTAGTATGTTAGTCTTACTCCTATTGAACATCTTTAATTCTATAAAATACATCATGCATTTTGTGCATTTTGGTTGGCAGTAAACATATTTCTGTTTTGTCGATTGTAAATTTCATTATATTTTGCTGCATGCATTGCCAACATGACTGCTTTGAATAGGTTTGATTATTTTTTCTTAGCACTGTCTTTATCACAATTGCAGTTCTTCTACAGCAATTTCTAATTATAAGCTGTGGTATATTTTTTTTAGTATCTCATACTGGATAGTGCTCCTAGTCTTTTCCAAAGAGTTCTTTAATATAAACTTGAGCTGAAAAATCAACTACAGTAGTTCAGTAGTTCTTAACCTTAGTCTTCAGGTCATCTTGGATTTTAATTCTAGGAATCTTTATTGGCCAGGCTGGTTGGTTTCTGTTGAGTTGCAAAACATCTGGAAAATTAAAACTTGAGAACAACTGAAATAGGAAATATGGTTTCTCTATGTAATTATGTTCCTCCGGGAAATAAGGCCACTAATAAGAAACAAGGGGGAAAAGATCATTCTTACGTTACCGTGTCTGGAAAAAATGTCCTCTTACATTTGTATACAAATAAAATTCTATTTCATCAATGAACATGCTTATGTTGGGGAGGGGGCATTGTATATAAGGATAAAAGAGCAATTTCTCCTCCATATGTTCCCCACACAGGTAATAATGTTTAAACTGGGTCCTTTTCTATTTAAGATAACTATATATTGTATATTCAAAAGGATCAGATAGCCAACACTCTCATTTTTGTTTCTTTTCCAGGTTCGAACTCACAATTGTCCTACAGTATTACTTCTGGAGATAGCTTGGGCCAATTTAATATTGACAAAAATGGGATTCTAAGCATCAGGCAACTACTAGACCGTGAAAGCCAATCTTTCTACAGCCTCATTGTTCAAGTTCATGATATGGCTTCTCTTCCAACCTCACGATTCACAAGTACAACACAAGTCTCTATTATTCTGCTTGATGTGAACGATAACCCTCCAAGTTTTATCTCTCCTAAGTTGACTTACATTCCAGAGAATACACCTGTTGATACTATTGTATTCAAAGCTCAAGCCACTGACCCAGACAGTGGTCCAAACAGTTACATTGAGTATAATCTTTTAAATCCTTCAGGGGAGAAGTTCAGTATTGGTACCATTGATGGTGAAGTAAGGCTTACTGGAGAACTTGACAGAGAAACAGTTTCTAATTATACTTTGACTATAATTGCTACAGATAAAGGTCAACCATCTCTTTCTTCATCTACTAATGTTGTTGTGGTAGTCCTTGACATCAATGACAATAACCCTGTCTTTGCTCAAAAATTATATAAAATTGAGATTGCAGAAAGTATTCTCACAGGGACAGATGTGGTCCAGGTGTTTGCAGCAGATGGAGATGAGGGTTCCAATGGGCAAGTTCGCTATGCCATCATCAGTGGAAATATGAATAATGAGTTTCGGATTGACTCTGTCACAGGTGTAATAACTGTAGCTAAACCTTTGGATCGAGAGAAGAAACCTTCATATTCTTTAAAAGTTCAGTCAGCTGATCGGGGAAGTAGCCCACGAATTGATACCACTACAGTCGACATTATTCTGATAGATGTTAATGACTATATACCTACATTTGAATTATCTCCATATTCCGTAAATGTCCCAGAAAATTTGGAAAAATTACCTAAGATCATTCTTCAGGTTAGTAGTTTTGAGACCACACTAAAGAGTAAGCAGTTTTATGTTGACTATGCATATATGTTGCAAGTTATATACATGTTAAATGATGTTTTAATTTTATGAGTTATTTTTACTTGCATGTCTTTATAATATTCCTATTTCTTTCATGCATATGAGAAGGAAACATTGTTAATGTTTTCCTAAATAAGATTTGAATTATTTTTAATACTTCAGAACTTTTTGGTGAGCATTTTATAGTGGTTCTGATTTATTTACAAGTTCATATTTTACTCAGAAATGGATTTTGTGCAAACATTACACAATTTTTCATGCCAGATATTAAAAAATCACCAAAAAATGATTTTGTTATTGTTGCTTCTGTTGAAAGACATGCTGGTGTTTTGTACTTGTATAGTGCTTAAAATGTTACTATAGTTCATGATTTGGTTCCCCAATTTCTTACTAAGAAAGAGAAAAATTGCTGATATTTTATGCCCTCCAACTGGCCTTATACATAGACTAGAAAGGGTTTCATAGAATCAAAGAATCATAGAATTGGAAGAAACTACATGGGCCATCCAGTCCAACCCCCTGCCATACAGGAAAAGCACAAAAACGGTACCCCCCAACAGATGGCCATCCAGCATGTGTTTAAAAGCCTCAACAAAAAAAAAAGAGTTTCCTTCACACTCTGAGGTAGAGAGTTCCACTGCTGTTCTTAAAGTTGGAAAGTTCCTCCTAATGTTCGGCATCTCCTTTCTTGTAATTTGAACCCATTTTTCTGAGTCCTAGTCTCCAGGGCAGCAGAAAACAAATCTGTTCCCTCTTTCTTATGACATTCTTTTCATTTTGATCTTTACTTTTCACTCATATCCTTTCCGCTGTAGAGACAGATATTGTTGTATTTATTAAAGTTCTATTGCATCTTTTCATGTGAGTGCATTTAGCCTTTATTTCCCAAATTAAGGAAACATCTGGGTAGGCTTTAATAGTTGGCAGAAAAAAATAATTGGCATTTTTTAAACAGTGTGTTTAAGATCTACTGGACTTTTTTATTGTTTTAATCAGCTTAGATACAAGGTATTTATTATTTGCTCTACCAAGCGTTTTACATAGATGAAAGATAGTTGTATGGACATTAGAGAAAGTAGCATTTATGTATTTATAGTTCTGTTATGCTTCATTGCTTCTGTAGGTTATAGCACGGGATGATGATCAAGGCCTAAATAGCAAATTGACCTATCTTCTTATTGGTGGAAATGAAGATGGAGCCTTTACACTCTCACCCAGTGGAGAGCTCCACCTTGTGCAGAGCTTGGATCGAGAGAGAAAAGAACAATATGTTATGCTCATCACAGCAACCGATTCAGGTAGTAAAATCAACCACTTATCCAGATCGTTGGTCCCCGATTTATTTCAGGAAAGCATAATCTGTGAACATGGTCTTAGTTCTGTTCATTTGTTAACATCTGTCATCATAGTTTCTTGATGAAGAAGGATTCGGAAATCAAAGTCTATACTGCGTCCATTTCTGAACTCTATACTTGTGTTTAAACTAGTTTATTCATGAGGAAGGGATAGAAAAGCAAAGCAGATGCTTCATACACAGAAATATAGGAATACATCTAATTATTCCACACTCCTTATGAGCACCACATTTGCTAATGCAGTGTACCGTATATTCCGGCATATAAGACGACTGGGCGTATAAGACGACCCCCCAACTTTTCCAGTTAAAATATAGAGTTTGGTATATACTCGCCGTATAAGACCACCCCTCTTCCATTGCACACCAAATAAAAATAAAAAATAAAAACATCAGATTTGATTTCAAATCCAAGACTATCAAAGCAGTATCCAGCTCTTTGGCTTAGAAATGGAGATGAGCGCCAACCCCCAGAGCCGGACACGACTGGACTTAACGTCAGGAGAAAACCTTTACCTCACCTGTAAACTCCTGTATGTTTATTATTTATTTAACAGTTGTGGGTCCATGGAGCGTAATAAAGTTCTATAAATTTTTACCTTACCTTACCTAGAGTGAGACCAGGGCCGGGTCCAATGTCCTTTCCCCAACAACAACAATAATGGAAATCTAGAATTGGAAGGGACTCCAATGGCCATCCAGTCTAACCCTAATTCTGCCAGACAGAAACACATGTCCAAGCCCTCCCGACAGGTGGCCATCCTGTTCTACTTAATAACAGAAATAATAATAACAATAATAATAGAACCTTAGTGTTGGAAGGGACCTCAATGACCATTCAGTCCAACCCCATTCCTGCCAGGCAGGAAGACACAATGCAAGCCTTCCTAACAGGTGGCCATACAACTCTGCTTAACAATAACAACAACAGAACGCTAGAGTTGGGACTCCAATGGCCATCCATTCCAACCCACTCACTCCTGCCAGGCAGGAAGACACAATGCAAGCCTCCCCAACAGGTGGCCATCCAGTTCTAGTTGCCATATATACTCGAGTATAAGCTGACCCGAATATAAGCTGAGGCACTTAATTTTACGACCAAAAACTGGAAAAATTTATTGACTTGAGTATAAGCCAGGGGAGGGAAATGCAGCAGCTAGTGGTAAGCTGAGGGGACAGAAGTTGTCATAAAGCCATCTTGTGCAGCTTCCAAAACCCAACACGTGAGAACATTTTGCACTGCAGCCAGATATTTCCAAGGTCCATGCCCAAAGGGTTTGATGAATATACCCTTTTTGAGATAGATCTAAATCAGGCATGGGCAAACTGTAGCTCTCCAGGTGTTTTGGACTTCAACTCCCACAATTCCTAACAGTATTTGAGAACACAGAAATGCTGGACCACTCTCAGAACCACCATGTCAGACTACACAGAGAAGCCATTGAAATCCACAAGCATGTGGACAATTTCAACAGAAAGGAGGAAACCATGAAATGAACAAAATCTGGCTACCAGTATTTTAAAAAAAACTCCTCTAAAATCAGGACAGTAAATAAAAAACAACACTCAAAAGCAGGGGAAATCCAGACAATAAAAAATCAGGACCAACTAACACCTCCCAACAAAGGATTCCCCCAGGCAGGAAGCAGCCAGGCTTTGAAGCTGCAAGGCCATTCATTGCTAATCGAGGTAGCCAATGGCAACATTCCCACTTGCCTCAAGCAGACAAGAGTTCTTTCTCCCACCCTGGACTTTCCACAGATATATAAACCCCACTTGCCATGTTTCCAACAGACCTCACAACCTCCAAGGATGCCTGGCATAGATCTGGGCAAAACATCAGGAGAGGACACTTCTGGAACATGGCTATACAGTCTGGAAAACTCACAGCAACCCAGCCACTAGCTGTTAGGAATTGTGAGAGTTGAAATTCAAAACAATCTGATAGAAAACTGGGACTTGTAGTTTGGTATGGTACTGGCTCTCTTAAACAGGGAAGGCTAAGGACCTTGTAAAACTACAACTCCTGTGATTCCATGGCACTGAATCTGTGGCAGTTTTTTGGGGGGGGGATTCCCCTTTAAGAGTAGCTCGCCCTTGCACTTCCCCTTTAAGGCTGCCTCATTCTTGGCTGCAGAAACAAAACCAAACGGGGGAAAGAGACCTTTTTCTTCCTCCCTCTGCAGGCTATTTAAAACTTTTAAAACTTAAGAGCGGCTGTTCTTTCAGAGGGAGCTGAGCACAGAGACAGGAAAGAAACCCCAAAGAGGGGAGGGAGAAAGAAGAAGTTTCTGCAGCAGGACTTTCTCGGAGGTGCCTTTGTTTTGACTCTCCTTGAGTAGCACTGTTTGAGGGAGGAGAGGAGAGGGAGAAAGAGGCTGGGAATGGGAGGCTTGGGGGAAGCCTCTTCTGCCCCTTTTTCCTGCAGGAGGAGGAGGGGGAGGAGGAGGAGCGGCAGCTGCTGCGCTGCTTGGGGATGGCGAGGGGGGAGGAGGAGGAGGATCGGCAGGTCTGCCGGGAGGGCTGGCCAGCTGAGCTGCGAGACCAGCAGGCTCCCTTTGGCCTCTCATGGCTGCTCCCGTCCCTCTCTCTCGGCATCCTCAAGTGGTGGAACTTATAGCCGGCACACAAGACGACCCCCCCACTTTTAAGATGACTTTCTTGGCTTAGAAAGTCGTCTAATATGCCGATTTTTACGGTAACTATTATTACTAATGCTCAGAGAATCTCATCACTCTTTAGCATTCTAGCATAAACTCTGATCCATTTCTAATTAGCAGCAGCAACACAATAAGATAAACATAGTAACATGTAACAAACTGTGTGGACAATTGGCTTCTTCCAGGGATTAATTTTGGCAATCCACAAGGCTCTGGAGATTCTCTGTGGCAGAAGATTGGTTCTTAGACTTGACAGAGTTGCCCCTCTTCATTAAAACCTTTTTTTCTGCATGAGTGTAGTTCTATCACTCCATTAATTCTTAGCTTTGATAACAATTAAATTATAATTATAATTTAGAGGGAAATTAATGACTTACAGCATTGAAGTCCAGTCATGTTATATTTTGAGAGGCTACTCACATGAGTAGATTATAAGGATATAATTTTTCACTAATTTTGTTTTCAGAGGAAGCAATCTGTGATTTTAGTAAAAAAAAATTTACTGCTCAAAGAAAGGCTTCAAGGTTCACACAGTTTTTGAAACCTATTTGTAATATAGGGCTTATTCTGTGTAAAAGTCACAAAATCATCTCTCCACCGGATCCCTGGTGGGGCAATGGATCAAACTCTTGTGCCGGCAGGACTGAAGACCGACAGGTTGGAGGTTCAAATCCGATGAGAGCCCAGATGAACTTCCTTTGTCAGTTCCAGCTTCCCATGCGTGGACATGAGAGAAGCCTCCCTCAAGGATGGTAAAAAATCAAAACATCCAGGCACCCCCTGGGAAATGTCTTTGCAGACGGCCAATTCTCTCACATCAGTTTCTCAAGTTGCTCCTGGCACAAAAAAAAACCCCTCTCCACCCACAAGATAAGAGATGAATTCTTTAGGTTAAAGAAGGGAGATGTCATAAATAAATGAGTGTATTCATTAAAATAATGAATTTCAAAATAATACAATACTATTGAGAGTGCAGCCTCACAGCTTCTTACTTGTATACCATCCAAAAAAGTGGCATGAAAGCATTTAAAGGGAAATGATTTAATGGTTTTTCTGTTTCATAAATGATTGTTGTGAGTAGTCCTACCTTTTTATATTTAAAAAAACTGATGAGTAAAAGAGAAGCTTTCTTTTTAAAAAGAGGGAGGGGTTTTTCTTATGTTCAAAGTCAAAGATGTACAAAATGGCAGTATGCCATCTTAGAAAGCAACAGCTTTTATCATAACTTTGAAATGTTTCTAGAGAGATGTTGGCTTCCAGTCCTTTCTTTTATTAATTGCCTGATTATGGAGTAGCACATCTGGATACCTACTAGCGGCTTTGACTTACTGCCTGAATATATTTTAGTTTCCTCTTATTCTCTCCCCACCCCCACCCCCACCCCATTTTAAGACTATCTAACTCAAGTATTACTTGAGCCAAAATTCTCTGCCTCTAACTTTGAAAATCTCTTCATCATTGGCCTGCTCTAAATGAAGCTACTAGTCAGATGAAATGAATATTAATAAGAAGAATGTTGCTACTTATTTGCACTTCTTGCTTGGTATCTATGTTTATTGTATTTCACTACAAAGGTTTGTCTTGTTTAATTATTTGTTCCATACATGCTAAAGGGTTACATTTGAAACCAGACAGCTTCATTGGCATACTTCTGGAGAGGCTTAAAATAAACTAGAACCATGCAGCTTCACAATCTTGATTTGTTAGACTTCTTTCCTCATAGTTTATTCTATTCCCTTAAGTGGTTTGGCAAATTACATATTTCAAAAAAAGCAATTCTAATTTTCTCTCATGTGCATTCCAAGCTGCGGTCTGCAACTAACTTTATTGCCTTTTAAAGAGTTCTGTGTAACCTCAGACCTTTCCTGTGTAGTATTTTATTCTGTACCGTAGCATTGTTTCTGTTTTTGTCTAGTATTGTTAAGACCATGGTCCCATACCTTGTCATCCAAGGAATAAATCCCACTGAATTCAGTGGGATTTAATCCTGGGTTTGAGACTTGAAGCCTATTGTTATTTGACAATTGTAGCCTTTTTGTGAACATAACAGATACAAACAATTTTTCCTAACAAAAGTTATGAATATTGTTTGTATCCATGCTATTTTCATACATTTATTACTATATCTCTTAAATATAATGGTTAGTCCTCACTTGGTACTAAAATGAAAGGCATTCAATGCATGTTCATTTATATCAATGGTTCCCAACCTTTGGGCCTCCAAGTGTTTTGGACTTCAGCTTTCACAGTTCCTAAAATCTGATAAACTGGTTGGGATTTCTGGGGATTGAAGTCCAAAATGCCTGGAGTCCCAGAGGTTGGGAACCACTGATCTATATAATCTTCAAGGGAAACCCTACCCTAAAAATGCAATAATTTAATCAGGACATTACCAAAGCATGAATTTTGTGATTGGGTTGTGTGTTGTTGTTCATTCGTTCAGTCGTCTCCGACTCTTCGTGACCTCATGGACCAGCCCACGCCAGAGCTCCCTGTCGGCCGTTACCACCCCCAGCTCCCTCAAGGTCAGTCCAGTCACTTCAAGGATGCCATCCATCCATCTTGCCCTTGGTCGGCCCCTCTTCCTTTTGCCTTCCACTTTCCCCAGCATAATTGTCTTCTCTAGGCTTTCCTGTCTCCTCATGATGTGGCCAAAGTACTTCAACTTTGTCTCTAGTATCTTTCCCTCCAGTGAGCAGTCGGGCTTTATTTCCTGGAAGATGGACTGGTTGGATCTTCTCGCAGTCCAAGGCACTCTCAGAACTTGTAGGAAGCCTATAACTACCTTTAGTGTCAAAGAGTTTACTCAAATGATCCACTTCTTATATAGAGGGGGAGTGGAGGTCCAAATTTGTCAGATATCTCAGTTACAAGCTGTATGGCTCTGGAGAATTCTCCTATGAAGGATCACGCAGAGAATCACAAGTGGAGTAGATATCAACGCCTTTATTGTTCAGAATACAAGAGCTTTGATTACTGGCCTCCTATATAGTACTAATTACAATACTGTAAATCACTCATTCAGGAATCCTGGCGCCATATCAAAGCCCTCCCATATCAAAGCCAGGTTCTCCCATCACCTTTGGGCAATTGAGTTTTATGGCTGGTCCATTTGTCGTGCATTTCATTTTGGCCCAATGTCCCATGGCTATGTGATTTGTGTCAGTTGTATGGCATGAGCCAGAGATCATGACAAAATTGCTCATGGATCATTTCATGGATCATAGAATTCTGTTTCTTTTGACAGACTACAGCTTCGTTTTTTCATTCTCATTCATCTAGCTATTGGCTCAGCAACAAATACTCAGTTATTTCATCCTTGAGGCGAAAGAAAATAATTTCCACAGTTTTTTCCCTGCTGTGTGAGACAAAATAATATTTCTGCACTATGCTAACCTTAGTGTTTCCAAACTAAAGGTGTTTCAGGAAATCATTCTATGCAGAAATACACGTAGATTTGTTCTATGAAAATTGTGGTTTTTCTGCAAAAAAGGATGTCATTTAAAAACACAATTTGAGATGGGCATGTGTTGTTTCCCAATTTTAGTACAGAAGAATTATGAGTATTTCTATTCAAACTAATGTCCTGAAAACATTTTGATATGTGAATACTGTGAATAATTTTCACTACTGTGTTATTAATTCTCACAGTGTTTCCCAAGTTTCAGAAAAACCATTTATTTTTCAGCCAGAAAATTTAAAAAATGGTAAATATTATTTCCCTTTCCACTTCATTCCTTCCCTGTGGAATGATGATGATTATATTTATTTATGATAAAGCAAAATAAAGCAGGGGATTGACAATTTACCAATGCCACCCAACTCCAAGATTCCAAACGAGTAGACCACTGAAAATAATTGAATTTGTTCATCACCGATTATCTAAGAGAAACGGATTCCAATGTGTCTGCTTTTCTTAAAATGGAACAACTAACATAATTAGCATCAACACATTGATTCCGATCTTTGGTACTGTGCTAAAAAGGATATTAGGTGTAGTTGCTTCTTTTTCTATTAGTCTATGTGTTATAATGTGCCATGAAGGCCATTAATTGAGATAGTTGCTATAATTGCAGATGCTAGGCAAGAACATGAAGTGAAATGAAATGTTTTTGAAGCCAGTTTCCCAGCTTTCACAGTATTTCAGTAGTTTGCAGAAACATTGGCCTCAGATTGCTGATTAAACAGAATGCTGCCATTTAGAAACTGAAAGTCAGCTAGTTAATTCTTCAGCTCCAAGAATACAGAAATCTTAATTGCTAGGATAAGAGCGGTAAAACATGAACATATGGCTGGGAATACTTATCCTGTAGGTTAATCTTCGGGAGTTGAACAGGGTGTTTTTAAAGTATAATTCAATAACAAAGGGAAGGCAGCTTAGTGTGGGTTATGCTGGAGTCATTAAGGGGCAAGCTAGACTTAAGTCCCCAGTTTATTGAAAAACACACATCTCTCTCTCTCTCTCTCTGTGTGTGTGTGTGTGTGCGTGTTTAACAGCAGTGAGTTTTCAAAAGAGTAAGCAATTTAAAAACATTTTAAGGGTTTTTGAATTTTAATTTGAGATGGAAAACCAACATTTTTGAGAGCTTCTATTTAACAAGAATATATCGTTCTGTACATGATATGTGTATCTCAGAAAATACTGTATAAAACCACAGCAAATTAAAAACCTGTTGATAGAATTGTCTCATTCTTCTTTGAATGTGAAGTGAATTATATTTTATACTTGACCTTCCCAGTACCCTTTACATATGCTTAGTATCATTTCAAAACACACATTGACTTCATTTGAATTTTTTAGAGGACATATATAATTCAAAATCAAATTATATGCATCTATGAGACACTGTAAAATTGCATATATCAACAATAAGTTTCACTTATCCTAAATACTTGAAATCAAATGTGCTTTGGCTTTTTGATATTTTATGCATTTCCTTTTGTTATTGGATTTTGAAATATCTACATACATACCAGAGGTCTAAACATGAAGTTCATTTAAGTTTCATATACACATAGCCTGATGGTAATTTTATACAATATATTTTTAAGTAATTTAGTGAATGACACAAAGTTTGTAAACATTTAACCATCAGAAAGCAAAGGTATCACAATGTCAGCCATCCATGTGGATTTTGGAATTCCAGATAAGAGATTACCAATCTGTAATAAAAAGTAACATAAAAATAATTCTGTCAATCAAAGTAAGAAATAAAACAGTAATACAGACAACAATAAAGCCATCTCAGCCCATCTTATAGATAGATGGTTTTTCTTTATCTGATACAGGAAAAATACAGCTTCTGAAATAGCCAGGGTACTATTAGCAAATCATTCTTTATTATAGCTATAACAATATTTGTTTCATATTGATGAATGTACTCAAAGCAAATCCTGTCATAGTGCTCTTAGGTGAGATTGGGCAACTTTGACTTCAATCCAGCATCCTCTCAGCATCGTGCAAATATCCACATGCACAGCCACATTGCACCAACACTGTAGAAACCACATAAAACATATGTATGATTAGATGCTGTTGTGTAACGCATGGTGCATAATGTGGTACAAGATCTTCCAGTTAACCCACTCACCTCTTTTCAGAAGTTATCAGCAATTTCAGGTACTCTCCCATGTGAAAATTAAGTCCATGAAAATTGAGCCCACATTTGTTTCCAGTAATCGATCACCAAAAAACATCGTGAATGGCAGATCTCTTTGGTCAGTGAGTGAAAGGGTATTGTGGGGTGGATCCCTTTACTTACCTGAGCCCTATGATGGGGGAGCAGTGTAGAGTATGTACATGCATGTTTATATATGAAGTTTTGGGTCCCAAAAAGCAGTACTTGATAACCCTGAGCTGCTTCTCAAGATGTTTTATAATTTTTATTGGGGGTTTTATTTGTATACATATAGATACAATTAAAAAAGGGAATCAGTAGCATAGGAAACAGGTTTATGTAGGTTTTGAGTAGGATAGGGTACAAAGGGTTGGGATTGGGGATTACTAGGTTTGGGTCTCGGAAAAGGGGGAGGGGAAAATAAGAGAGGAGAAAGTTTGTCATCTTCCAGTCTTATTCTTCGTGGTTGCCTATTAAACTCTAATCTCTTTTTCTTTTCAAAATGTGCTTCTCCTTTTCTTTCCTTTTCACTGTATTCCTTGTACTTATCTAATTGAGTTATAGTATTATCATTCTTTTCTGTAAGTTCATATGGTCTTTAGTTGCCACCTCTGCTCTACCGTTGTATTTGTCAATAAACCTAAATATTACAAGACTGTCATAAAATTTCCTGCTCCAGTCTGCTGTGAAATTCTAGGTGTGATTATTCCCCTTTTAAATAGTACCTTGCAATTCTGTGGAGAACTCATGGCCTGTACAGAAATTACTCTCAGCAGAAAAGCTAGCATTCCTCTTCACCATTCTTGTTGCTTCTCTACCTCAAATCAGCACATTCTTACTTGGTTTTTCTCTAACCATTCCTGACTGATAAGATTTTGTTACACACATTGGCATGCAGATTTTCCGCACTCTGGTTTTATCCACATTTATTTTAGTTGACACTGTTGGGAGGCCAGTCCCAATGTTCACTTTAATCCAAATCTCTGTAACTCAACAATGGTGCATTGTTCAAAGTTTCTTTTTGTCAGCAGCAAAGATAGTACTAAATAATACCAGGGTCAAAACTTCTTTTGACTGCCTACTTCTTATGACCTCCTGTACAAAACAGATAGTGACCTTAATCTTTTCATGGATTTTATTTTCTAGCCCTGTGAACTGTGACATGTTCTAGCGTGAGAGAATAAATGAAGAGTGGCAGATTCAGCATTAGTATTGTAACTTGTGGTAACCTCTAGCATTTCACATCTCTTTTTTCCCCCAGGAAGTCCTACCCTTACTGGTACTGGTACTATTGCTGTCAAAGTAGATGATGTCAATGACAACATCCCCAAATTTGCCTTTAACATGTATTTGAAAACCATTCCAGAGGATGCGCCTACAGGGACAGATGTGTTGCTTGTAAACTCCTCAGATGCTGATGCATCAGTGAATGCTATCATCAGGTATGATCTATGCTTATGAAGTTTTTTAAAATGTTTTTTTATATATTCCTTTAGGTCCCCATTTTTATAGTCCTTCAATTGAATTAACATAGCCTGAAGATTCACTGTTATACTGAACAATATTGCTAAGCTGTAGTTTAAATCGAACTGCTCCGTGTCACTTGTTAAATTACTTTTGAAAAATAGGGCATAAAAGTACTGTAGGGATGTAACTTCATTTATTTCATTTTTGCAAGCATGAATCAATATTTTAAACAATCTTACTCCTATTACTAGAGCAATCATCCTAGTTACTTTTCAAGGAGTATTCAAAGGTTGGTATTTATAAAAATGTGAGAAATGAAAAGTATATATTCACTCACACGTAGAGGCATTTGATTCCAAAGGATGGATTACACAGTGTAAGGCAGTTTCCAAAGAATTCTCTCTTTCAAAAAAATGCAATCCATCTCACTCTTCTTTTTCATTGGGATCCTATATAGACATGGAACGGCTGGTGCTGTGCCTGCTTTCCATTCTTGGACCAAGCTAGCAATACTTCCCCTTTGCCTGTTCATTTGTGGAGATCAATGAAGGAGAGAAACAAAAGGACTGAGCGTCTATGAAATTGGAGTATGAGTGTTTGGGTAGACTGTTAGCCATATTGATAAACCACCTACATGCTGTGTGGCTGTTTCCTCTTGCCTTTCCTTCTATGTTCAGAGCAAAGTTGATAAAGGCAACTAGCAGAAAAGCTCTGAGTTGGATGTGCCATCAGCCCCATCCATCCTGCTACCATTACTTCAGAAACCCACCTAACTGTCAAAACAAACCATCAGCTTTGAGTCTTACATGGTGTTGTCTGAGTCCAATAGGCGGATTTGTCTTCATCATGGGAGCCTACCTTTTGTTGAGCCAATTTCAGTGGTTGGAGTCCTGACAGTCAAATAATTGTACAATGCTTTACTGTCCTTAGTAGGAAGTCACATTGCCTAGGAAACTGCTTTTTTGTTGAGGATCACACCAACATTCTTATGATCTCCAAAGTCTATTAAACTATTACAACTTCACCATCAGAAAAAAAATAGTCCAAGTAGCAATATCAGCTTGAATTTTTCCTCACAGGAGTGAAATTTGGCTAATGCAATGTAGGAAAGATTAATGTTTTTATTTAACACTATCTGATACTCTAGAAACCAAGGATAAGGTTTTTCCCTCCAGTTTAGGAGATCATAAAGATTAGTTTACTGAAAGGTATAAATGAAGCAACACTACCTGTTTCTTTTTTTGCAGGTTAAAACATTTTACCAAGCTGAATAAAAGAATCTTCATTTCTAGTTATTGAACTATAGAAGGACTAAAATGCCCAGAATAGCATAACACTATTCTTTTCGTGATAATTTGGCACTTCTGGCATCTCTGTGCTTGCATGAAAACAATCCAACTTAACATTCCCTAAAATATGGCATAATGAAGCTATTAATTACATATGCTAATTCATGGAAATTAGGAAATCATCATAAGCTTGAAAAAATAGCATTGTAGAATTGGCTTTTGTATTCACTTCCACTGAAAAAAGAAGTAAAAACTGTTATTATTTCTGCTCCCTGAATCTAAAAATACAGTCTGTTAGGTATGTGATTTTATTCTGATGCTACTGATGCCCATCTGTAGTGATACAGTTTGAGAACTGTGTACAGTGACAAAAATTTGTTGGCATGCACTCTTTGAAATCAGTTTGTACTTGTATTGTCGAAGGCTTTCATGGCTGGAATCACTCAGTTCTTGTGGGTTTTTTCGGGCTATATGGCCATGTTCTAGAGGCATTTCTCCTGACGTTTCGCCTGCATCTATGGCAAGCATCCTCAGAGGTGAGGTCTGCTGGAACTGGGAAAAAAGGGGGTTTATATATCTGTGGAATGACCAGGGTGAGACAAAGGGCTTTTGTAAGTTGGGCTAGGTGTGAATCTTTCAACTGACCACCTTGATTAGCATACAATGGGCTGACATGTGCCTGGAGTAAACTCTTCTTGAAAGGTGATTAGATGTCCCTGCCTGTTTTTCTCTCTGCTGTTTTTGCTGTTGCAATTTTAGAATTTTTTAATACTGGTAGACAGATTTTGTTCATTTTCATGGTTTCTTCCTTTCTGTTGAAATTGTCCACATGTTTGTGGATTTCAATGGCTTCTCTGTGTAGTCTGACATGGTGGTTGTGAGAGTGGTCCAGCATTTTTGTGTTCTCAAATAAAATGCTGTGTCCAGGATATATAAACCCCTTTTTTCCCAGTTCCAGCAGACCTCACCTCTGAGGATGCTTGCCATAGATGCAGGCGAAACGTCAGGAGAAATGCCTCTAGAACATGGCCATATAGCCCGAAAAAACCCACAAGAACTGAGTTTGTACTTGGTTTAGGAAAAGTATAATTCTATGCATGTTTGACCCAGAATTTAATAAAACGTAATACCAAGTAAGTATACTTTGTAGCCTTAACTGGGTTAGAAATGTTTTAGAAACCTTGGCATATCAAGTTTTGAAAATATGGTTGAATTAAGGACATGGCATTAAATTGCATATGCAATAAAACAATCCTAAACAATGTGACATAGAAAAACAGACCAAAATTAATAATTTGTTCAGATTATTTAAAAGAAATCAAAGAGCAGAAATGTTTTGAAGACAAAAATATTATGACATCAGTTAGCATATATATATATATATATCTGTACAAAATGTCATTTGTAACTCATTTGTCATAATCTATTTCATAAGACTCATACATACGAAGTGATATTTAGAAACGCGGGGGGCACACAAGCAAAAAACTTAAGATTCAAAACACTGACCTATGACTTTTGGATGAGTTATGCAAGTCTTGTAAGTGGCTCCGGGTCTCCATTGTAGGTGCCACTTCTCCCCCCCCCCCAAAAGAACTGGGTTTGGTTCCCCCAAAGGGCCTTAAAGCAGATGGCGAGACCTGGAGTTAATGGAGAAGCCCCACTCTTTCCCCAAAGGAAGCAGCAAGTGGGACCTGGTCAGGATGCCTAGCTGGATGGCCGGGCAAGGAAGAAGCCCCTCCAGCACATGGCTGGGCCAGAGAGAGACAGACATACACCATCACAATGTGGCTTTAACGGGAGCAACCCCAGTATTCTGAAGTAAGTTGAATTCTGGGAAATTTAGTTTAGGGAGGGGCCTTTTCAATTCTCTGCCAGAATTTCCCAGAATTCTGCTTACCACCTTGTGCCTCCTCCTGCTCCCTGAAAGTTTTGTTGGGGGGAAATCCATGTTCATTCTAAAGGGATTTCCAAGTAAAGGGGGATTGTTTGGAGTTGAATCAACCCTGTGAGGTAGGTAAAGTTGAGGGGCAGTAATTCCAAAGTTTACCTAGTAGATTTCCTATTATTATTATTATTATCATCATTATTATTATTATTTCAAAGGGTGGATGGGAATCTGTTGGGGGTGCTTTGACTGTGCTTGCTTTTTTTGCCTGATAGAAGGGGGTTGGACTGGATGGCCACTGGGATCTTCCAGTAAAATAATATTGTTAAGTTTATATTGGTTAAAATACCTCAAAAATCAGTGGATGTACAAATCTTTCTGAAACTTGGGGAAATATGCCCTGGTTATGCTATATCATTAAAAATAGAAATTCAAGGAGATAACTCTTGTAACTTTAAAAAGTGTTCATCAATTTTTTTAAAAAAAATCTCAAAAATCAGTGAATGAGTGAAATGTTCTGAAACTTTGCGGAGGAACAGTTAAATCACAATAATTTAGTAATTAATATTGAAACTTTGTTTTCATTGGTCGCACAGTCCACACACACACACACACACACATATACTGCCTTATTTATTTTTTTAGTGTATCACCCACTTTTGAGGGAAAAACCTTCCCAGGGCAGCTACTAATAACTAGTAGCATGCTCAGTAGTATTAGCATGCTTAGAAAGATATATAAAAAGCAATTGATAAAATTGGAGCACATTTGTGTTAAAGTGTTTCAGTGTGAGCATTATTGCTTGGCACTTACTTTAATTGTGATTTGTTCATTCAGTCCTCAGCTAAGCTTCATTACCTTTCTTTTGGTTTCAACTTTTGTCTCAGGTTGACCTTTTTTGTTTTTCTTTTAATACTATTTAGCCTGATGGGGAGTTATGAAGAACATGAATCCCTGCACACTTTAAAAAACGTTTTTTACAGTTGTCCAACTGTGAATCTCAAGCCAACATAGCTACATTTGGTGTTCATTTGAATTTCTTTTTTGCTATTGTTTTTATTGTTGCTTTTCTTAACTTTATGAGGTGTCTGAGGGATTTTTGTTGCTTTCAACTTTTTAAAAAAAACATAACACCTGCTCCTAGCAGCACACATCTCTCTGTAGACCAGCAGCACTTCCCGGAATGCCTTGGAGGAAGAATATGACCTAAGTAGTCCCTTGGGCATTCCTAAAAGTTCTGCCAAGCCAGTTTTGCACTGCCAGAAGTGGGCATGAAGCTTTCCCCCCCCCAAACATTAAACAAAAAAGCCTCATAAAGTTAAGTAAGGTAAGTGCCAAACCTCTAACTGATTGAAAGGGTCAGTAGAATTCTCCTGCTCACCCTAAAATGAGCAAAACAAAAATCAGGCACACATACATGTATTTTTGTAAGAATGAATGCGCCTGTGAAAGGAATCCTTCAGCCAACATTTTTACCCACCACATATATAATTCCAAACAATCAGTAATAAAAATGAGAATTCCATTTCTTTTATTTCAGTTGTAAGTGTTGTTCTGATAATCTTTTCAAATATCATTTCTATTCCCCCCCCCCCAAAAAAAAATAATGAAGTAGGGCTGTTACATTAGAATTAGAATATATTCAGTTTTGGGGGATGTGATTAGCTTCTTGCCAACTGGGCATGAAATTGACCCTGTATACAACTATTTCTCTAGGGTGATTAAGATTTCATTCCAGTTTGCTTAGTGTTTATAGAAACAGCAAGAACATCTAAACCCCAGTTTAAAAAAAAAAGTTTCCTCATAATTAGACCCAAACTGTTGCTCTTGGTGAACAACATCCTATGATACTATTGAACATATTGTGTGAAATATTATTCATGATACCTGTCTCAGGGAATCCATGCAATTTTATGCTGCATGGAGGTTTAAAGTATGATGTAGTAGGAAATAATTCTGCCCTCATCAATCTTCTTTTTCCTATATAAAACCCAAAAGAACTGTGATAGTAGAAACCTTGTTCGTTCTTCACTTTTTACTGTGATCCTGTGGTTATTCCTACCTTACACAGTGACATTCACTCTAAAATTGTTCTTTTGAATTTAGAGATGTGGATCACTTCCCTATTATTTGTACGTATTGCAAATAATATTATGTTCTAGTAATTACTCTCTTTTTAAACAAGAATTGAGTAATTCATTGTATGCAGAAGGTATTTTCTTAGAATAAATGGCTAGATATAAATGTTAGTTACCATTCACTTTGGCTTACTATAGTCTAGTGCAGTGGTTCCCAACCTTTTTTTGGCCAGGGACCACTTGACCAGGAACCACTTTGGCCAGGGGCCACTCTCCAGCATTGGTACCAAAAGGGTTATAAATCAGTTTTTGATCAACTTTAATTTAGTTTGGTTATTTGGGGTGCTGATTCAGAAAATTGCATTTGATAGACCACATCAGCTCTAGTTTCTGATGCAGAACATATGTCATCCAGTAGTCGCCATCTGCTCACCCACAGAAAAACATATTTAATAATCTAGAGCTGATGTGATAGTAATAATCTTTCATGGGTGGTCAGCCTTTCCCTTCCGACATCGCGAAAACAGTTGCTTTTGTTGCCGCATGGTTTCAAGGTAACGGTGTAGTAACAATGAGGCCACAGACCATATTTTCATTCTTGGGGACTATCGGTGGTCCATGGATCACAGGTTGGGAGCCACTGGTCTAGTAGGAGGGAAGCAATGTGTGTAAAGAAAATACCCATAAATCCTGTACTGCAAGTTTGCCTTCCTTAATTCTTCTAATATTTGATAGCTTTAGTATACTCAGAATTGAAGTTCTGTCTCTTTTGTAGTAAGTCTATACTTTTTGTTAGGCCTGGGTAACAACGGAAAAATTTGTTTCTAAAATCGATTCGTTTTTTGGGGTTTTTTGCGTTTCGATATTTAAAAGAATTCCGAAATTTTCCTTTAAAAAAGTTTGATATTTACGAAATTTCGTAAATGGTAAAAAAATTACAAAACAATAACGAAACAATAACGAATCGATTCGTTAATGGCGGCCGCGATCGCGCAATACGCTAAAAAACTTCTGAAGCTTCCCTCTCCCTCTGTTGTTGACTGTTGGTGTGATATTATAAATTTTTTTTCACTAATTAAACAAAAAACAACTATAAAACTTGCCCCAGACATGCGGAAATAATAACGAAACGACCTCAAACCAATAACGAAACGAATACATAACGAAATACGAAGCATTTACGAAACGAATTGAAACATTCATTTCGTTTTTAAGTTGCTCCAGAATGGTTCGTTATCGCTTCGTTAACAAAATAATAACGAATTTTTAACGAGTTACGAATTAACGAAACGAAACCGCCCAGCCCTACTTTTTGTGTTTCTTATTTACATTTGTCAGCTTGACTGAAATTTAGAAGGAAATGAAGAATTTCTAAGAAAGTATCACAATTTTCTTTTTTCTGATTTCAAACTGTGTTGCTATTGTTGTTATCACTATTAATGCATTCACTTTGTATGTATGTGCATTTATTTATGTAAAACACTGTTTTAGCATTCATGAAATACATTTTCCTTTGTCACTATGACAGAGAAAGCATAAAGCTGAACACAATGCATTTTTTTATACAAACCTATTACTTTTAATCTGTTTATATATGTACATTTCTCATATATACACTGTTCTGTGTATAGATGGCCCAAATATATAAACAATAGAATACTATAGAAATATTATTTCTTCAAAAATATAATTTTGTTCTTCACAATATGGCAAATATGAAAGTTATTGATATTAGACTATCTATGTCTGTGTGTATGTATTTTACATTGCCTGCTGACTTTGGCTGACCTCATGAATATCACTGGGTTTTCTTAAATAAGGAATACTCAGGAGAAGTTTTGCCAGTTCCTTAGTTCAGCTAAAACAGTAAAATGTTCTAGAAAGCAAATTAAATTAGGGAAGTGTTCATAATCCATTACAAAAGCATTTTTTTCAGTTTGTGGATTTAGGCTTCATTCCTGAAATTATCCACAGATAATTACATTTAAAATACATCTTATCATATATCAAAAAGTCATACCAGTACTCAAGTACTATTTATTTTTACTGAGACACTTAGAGTTGCTTAGCAACTATATATGGAAACAATTGGAATGACCACTTGATTTTGGCAATATTCAGGTAAACTTACGATAATATACTTTCTGAAGGGCTCAATTTGAAGAGTGTTCAGAAATTACAATTGGCTTTAAGGCAGCAGTGATTGCATTATTGGAGTGTGCTACACAAAGCCTGATCCTCTGAATTGGCACCAGAGGATCCTATTTTGCCTCCTATTATATTTCTGGACTAGATTCAGAGTTCTAGATTTAAAGTCCTAAATAGTCAAGGGACAAATGTTTTAAGGACTCCTTTTCACATATGGGAGGGAATTGTTTTTCAAGAATGCTGCAATATTAATTTTAAAATAAATAAAAGATAGGAATATGAATTGTGTCATTCGTTCGTTCATTCACACTTGTGTACCATCTTCCAATGTAACTACATTTCCATTTTTTTATGCTTTTGTTTGTTTATTTGATCAGACTTATAGATTGTTTTGGAAATAAAAAGGATTATATATTTAAATAGATAAGAAATACAGTAGAGTCTTGCTTATCCAATATAAACGAGCTGGCAGAACGTTGGATAAGCAAAAATGTTGAATAATAAGAAGGGACTAAGGAAAAGCCTGTTAAATGTCAAATTACATTATGATTTTACAAATTAAGCACCAAAACATCATGTTTTACAAGAAATTAACAGAAAAAGCAGTTCAGTACACGGTAACATTGTGTAGTAATCACTGTATTTAGGAATTTAGCACCAAAACTTTGCAATGTATTAAAACAGCTCTGGATATGGTGGGAAGCAGACTGCATTGTATGATACAGAACATTGGATGAGTTAAGGTTGGATAAGCGAGACTACTGTATTTTGCTTCCCCATTTATGGGATAGATTATTTGTAGAAATATAATAAAATACAGTACATTTTACTTTTAAACAGGCATTTAAAATGTTTCCCTCCTTGTTTTTCTGCAGTTACAGCCTTAGTGGTGGAAATTCACAGTTCACTATCAACCCTTCCACTGGGCAGATCATCACAAGTGCTTTGTTGGACAGAGAGACTAAGGAGAATTACACTTTGATCATTGTGGCCAGGGACGGTGGCTTCCCAAATGCTCTTTCCAGTTCTACAAGTGTTCTTGTCACTGTTGCTGATGTCAATGACAACCCCCCCAAATTTCAACATCATCCTTATGTCACTCATATTCCCTCACCAACAAGTTCAGGTAAGCTGAAAGAGATTCCAGAATCTTGAGTTTTTTAGTTTGACTCAGTTTTTCCACTAAGCATAGGGTGCATATACATTGGAGAATTACTGCAGTTTGACACCATTTTACCTGTCAGAGCCCAGTGTTATGGAATGATGGGAGTTGCAGTTTTTAACCTTCTGTGCCAAATAGTGCTGGTGTCCCACCAAACTACAAATCCCATGATTAGATAGCATTGAGTCATGGGAGTTAAAGTGAAGTTAATGCATTATGTCTGCAATGCAGATATACCCATAGATAATTATCTGCTTCCTTCAGAGCAAGCAAATTGAATTTAGAGGAGTTTTTTTAAAAAAATAAATAAAATAACATGTGTATTGATTGTCCTAGGCTGCAGCTTCAGCCCTAGGTATTTTGTGAAAACATAACAAGCTGTATAAATAAATATTTATAAACTGCTTCACATTAGATAAATATTGTAAACATAACATTTGTTCACTCCCAGTTTTGTTTTCTTTATAATTATTTGTTACAAACTGTATTTTTTTTCCAAATGACTGAAACAAATGAAATGTGCAGAAATGAAAGTTAAAAATAGGCTCTAAGATCTGCCTCCTCTCAGTCCCGCCTCCACCTCTAGTGCAGTTGGTTAAGGCGAGGGCGAGGGCTTTTTCGACGGTGGCCCTCCAGCTCTGGAATGCCCTCCCCAGGGAACTTAGACAAACCCCTAAACTACAATACTTTAAGAAAGAGTTAAAAACTTGGATTTTGTGCATTCCTTTCCTCCAAATAGGTGTCTAAGAGTATTCATTGATATGCACTGATGCACATGTTCTTATATTATTATTAACTGGAAGTGCTGCTGCTGTCAATACCTTTTTAGATTCAAGTAAATCAATTTAGGGATTTATTAGTATGTATGAAGGAATTCAAATGTCAGGATAAATTAACATTTTTGCTCCTACTGAACATATTATAGTATGGATTGTCAAAACTGGACGTGCACATTATAACAAATCTTGAGATAGTTAACTAACTGTGCATGATATTTCATAGATTCCCTCTTATTGTTCTACCCATGTTTTAGAAGTTATTTAAACACATACATACTTTCATTTTGCTGAGGTCAATCTCTAAAAGCTAAAGCTTCAAGATGATCTAATATAGATATGAAGGTTTGAACTTTTCAGTTTGACAATATTAATCTGTTTTGTAGAATGATTTATATACAGTTGTACATTGTGATTTATTTATTTTCAGTCTTATTTATTTCTTAGTATAGTTCAGTTTTGTCCACTTAAGGATTTAGTGTTTAAAAAGCTACTGTTAATAATGTATGCAACTCTCTAGTTTTGTGGGAAGCTAACGGCACTCCATGCAGTCATGCCGGCCACATGACCTTGGAGGTGTCTACGGACAACGCTGGCTCTTCGGCTTAGAAATGGAGATGAGCACCACACCCCAGAGTCAGACATGACTGGACTTAATGTCAGGGGACTACCTTTACCTTTACCTAAGGTCTTTACAGATAGACACACAGTAAATGAAATTCAGAGGAAACTAAAAAGGCTTCTCAGTTTGCTAATTTATAAAATCAGAGAATGCTTCTGTGTATTAATACATTCTCTCACAGAGACCACAGTAATATCGATTCATTTTTCGGAGTATATTTTGAGTACAATTGGTTTGGTTCTTCTACTGACCCAGTTTATTTTTGTTTATTAAAGAACAGTGATGAAAAATCTTTGGAAAATGCAAATATAGGCAAATGACAGCCAAATTTTATTCATACAGATGTAACATTTATCATTGGTTTTAGCCTTCACAGGATTGAACAAAAAGTACAAATGTAATAATCCTCATATTTCATCTATCAGTATGTTAGTACAGTTTTGGATATCAACTCTTAAGTATTACAGGTACAATACAATATTATTATTTAACCAAATGAACAAAGTATACTAAACAGTTTATAAGCTGAAAATAAAATCAATGCTTTTTACCTAATTTTTACATTTAAAGTATAAAATGCTCGGGATTGAACTAAATATTAAATCAGGTTATGTTACAGATATCTTCCTATCCTAATACTCTCTGTTAATGTTTGCATGTAATAATAATAAATTAAACTTTATCTATACCTCGCCACCATCTCCCATAGGGACTCGGGGTGGCTTACAAAATAGCATGTATAAAATATGCCATGTATAAAATACATAATACATAAAATAAAACACAACAACATGAAAACAATAACATTACATAAACCATGTATATGAACTGGGGGGGGGGAACCATTCTCTATTAAAATAGAATCAGTTAAAAGATCCATGTAATCAGTATAGCAGTCCAACAGAATGCACATAGGATGTAAAGTGCTAAGTAATTGGCAATCAGTTCAGGTTACTGTCTAAACCTTATCAAATGCCTGCTAACAAAAACATATCTTGCTGTGTTAGACGAACTGTTGGAAATTTAGCTTGCAACTTATTAAACTTTACTCCTATGAAAATGCAGAAATATATTAAACACTATGTCTGCAGGTGATCATAATATCTATGCAGGGACTAGCATTCATTTCCACAAAAATTGATTGTCTTCTTTTTGTTATCCATTGCAGGTACATTTGTTTTTGCTGTGACAGTTACCGATGCTGATGCTGGACCAAATGCTGAACTTCACTATTCCCTTTCGGGAAAGAATTCTGGAAAATTCCACATTGATCCCTCACGAGGAGCAATTATGGCTTCTGAGCGACTGACTGGAACTTCTGAAATGACTTTTACAGTTAATGTGAAGGATGGAGGTGTGCACCCAAAGACAGATTCTACAACTGTGACTGTAAGATTTGTGAACAGAGCAGATTTTCCTCATGTTCAAGCTGAACGGCACAGTTTCACATTTCCTGAAAATCAAGCATCTAGCACCTTTGTCACTTCCATTTCTGGAGTGTCTTCCAGAGGCGATTCCTTATCTTACTATATTGCTAGTGGTAACCTTGGCAGCACTTTCCAGATTGACCAATTAACAGGCCACTTCTCCATCAGCCAACCTCTAGATTATGAAGCAATACAGAAATATGTTGTCTGGATTGAAGCAAGAGATATGGGCTTTCCTCCATTTTCTTCTTATGCAAAACTTGAAATAACAGTGATAGATATAAATGATAACATGCCAGTATTTGAACAAGATCCCTTTATTGTTGAAGTGGCAGAGAATATTTCACCTTCTAAAATAATTACTGTAACTGCTACAGACAAAGACAGTGGCCCAAATGGGCAGTTAAATTATGAAATAATTAGTGGTAATGTTGACAACAGTTTCAGTATCCATCGTGCAAATGGTGAAATTAGAAGTGTCAGGCCTTTAGACAGAGAGAATGTGGCCCAATACACACTAACGATAAAAGCTTCAGACAGAGGCACCCCAGTTCAGAGTACAACTGTGCAGGTACTTATCAATGTACTTGATGAAAATGACAACGCACCCAAATTTTCTCAAATATTCAGTGCTCTTGTACCAGAAAATGCACCCTTGGGTTACACTGTTACACGAGTCACAACATCTGATGAAGATATTGGAGTAAATGCTGTCAGCAGATATTCACTAAAGGAAACAAATACACCATTTGTCATAAATCCCAACACAGGGGATATAACAATTAGCAGACTCCTAAACCGAGAAGATGCAGATCGCTACAGAATCAGAGTTTCAGCACATGATTCTGGGTGGACAGTGAGCACAGATGTGACCATATTTGTGACGGATATCAATGACAATTCTCCACGGTTTACAAAACCATCTTATTACTTGGATTGTCCTGAACTTAATGAAATTGGATCTAAGGTGACCCAGATATCTGCAACAGATCCAGATGAAGGATCTAATGGACAAGTTTTTTATTTCATCAAATCCCAATCAGAATTTTTCAGAATTAATGCATCTACAGGGGAGATCTTCAATAAACAACCTTTAAAATTCCAAAATTCTAGTGGCTCTGGCAATGCCAATCTTAATAGGCACAGTTTCATAGTTACCTCCTCTGACCGAGGCAGCCCTCCTTTGTTGAGTGAGACAACAGTCACAATTAATATTGTAGATAGTAACGACAATCCACCTCATTTTCTCGCAAGTCAGTATTTTACACCTGCCACTAAAAATGTAGCTGTTGGGACAAAACTAATTAAAGTTACTGCTGTTGATGCTAAAGACTTCGGTTTAAATTCAGAAGTGGAATATCTACTTTTAAATAATAATAACCTAGAGGGTAAATTTAATCTGGATCATAACACAGGCTGGATTTCAGTAGGATCTTCACTAATGAATGATATGAATAAAAACTTTTTAATGAAAGTAAAAGCTAAGGACAAAGGTAATCCCCCTCTCTCGTCAGAAGTGACTGTGCAAATAGTAGTCACAGAAGAGAATTATCATACTCCAGAATTCTCTCAAAGTCATGTGAGTATTACTGTTCCTGAAAGTCATGCTGTTGGAGTTATTCTCAGGACTGTATCAGCAAGGGACAAAGATGCTGCTATGAATGGACTAGTCAAATACAATATTTCCTCAGGAAATGAAGATGGGAACTTTGCAATTAACGCATCTACTGGAGCATTGAGTCTTGCTAAGCCTCTTGATTATGAAGTATGCCAGAAGCATGAGATGACTGTTAGTGCTATAGATGGTGGATGGGTTGCTAGAACGGGGTACTGTAGCATAACAGTGAATGTTATGGATATGAATGATAATTCACCAGCTTTTAGCCCAGAGGACTACTTTCCAAGCGTTTTAGAAAATGCTCCTAGTGGAACGACTGTTATTCATCTCAGTGCAACTGATGCTGATTCAGGAGCTAACGCTGTGGTTGCATACGCAGTTCAGTCTTCAGATAGTGACCTTTTTGTTATTGACCCTAATACTGGAATCATTACTACTCAAGGCTTTTTGGATTATGAAACAAAACAGAGCTATCATTTAACCATAAAGGCCTTTAATGTGCCTGATGAGGAGAGGTGCAGCTTTGCTAATGTCAATATCCACCTAAAAGGTACAAATGAGTATGTGCCACGATTTGTTTCTAAGCTATACTATTTTGAGGTTTCTGAAGCAGCTTCTAAAGGCACTATAGTGGGAGAAGTATTTGCAAGTGACCGTGATACGGGAGCTGATGGGGAGGTCCACTATCTAATATTTGGCAACAGCAGAAAAAAGGGTTTCCAGATTGATGGCAGTAGTGGACAGATTTATGTCACAGGTTCTCTTGATAGGGAAAAGGAAGAAAGAATCTCACTCAAGGTGCTTGCAAAAAATGCAGGAAGCATTCGTGGTGCTGATATAGATGAAGTAGCTGTAAATATCACAGTACTGGATGCAAATGATCCACCTGTTTTCAACTTGGAAGTCTACAATGTTCAAATCAGTGAAGGTGTCCCTGTAGGGACCCATGTCACATTTGTCAGTGCCTTTGACTCAGACTCTCTCCCTAGCTGGAACAGATTTTCTTATTTTATTGGTAATGGTAACCACAATGGTGCCTTCTCTATTAACCCACAAACAGGACAAGTTACAGTAACTGCAGAGCTGGATCGGGAAACTTTACCAGTATACAACCTATGTGTGTTAGCAATAGACTCAGGAGCCCCCTCAGCCACAGGAAGTGCCTCTTTATTGATCACTCTGGAAGATATAAATGACAATGGGCCCATCCTTTCCACCACTGAAGGTGAAATAATGGAAAATAACAGAGCAGGAACACTTGTGATGACCCTTCAATCATCTGATCCTGATCTTCCACCAAATCAAGGCCCTTTTTCATATCATTTGCTTAGTACTGGCACAGCAACTAGTTATTTTAGTCTCAATACTGCTGGAGTTTTAAGCACAACTAGAGAGATTGACAGAGAACAAATCTGTGATTTTTATTTATCTGTGATTACAAGAGATTCAGGTATACCACAGATGTCTTCCACAGGAACTGTACACATAAAGGTAATAGACCAAAATGATAACCCATCCCAGCCTAGAACAGTAGAGGTCTTTGTTCATTATTATGGGAATCTGTTCCCTGGAGGAACATTAGGCAATGTAAAACCTCAGGATCCAGATGTTTTAGACAGCTTTCAATGCTCTCTTACATCAGGAGTTACAACCCTATTCAATATTCCACCAGGAACTTGCAATTTGAATTCCTTGGCAAGGTCTACAGATGGGACATTTGATTTGACAGTTCTGAGTGATGATGGGTTACACAACTCAGTCACCAGTAGTGTTCGAGTTTTCTTTTCAGGATTCAGTAATGCCACCATTGACAACAGTATACTTCTTCGTCTTAGTGTACAATCATTGAGGGAATTTTTGACAAACCATTACCTTCATTTTCTGCGAATTACCAATTCACAGCTCACTGGATTAGGGACTGCTGTGCAACTCTATGGAATTTATGAGGAGAACAATCGAACTTTCCTGATGGCAGCTGTGAAGCGGGGCAACTATCACTATGTGAATCCTGGTGGTGTGACTACTTTCTTTGAAAGCATCAAAGACATTCTCTTCCGTCAAAGTGGAGTGCGAATAGAGTCTGTGGATCATGACTCATGTTTACAAAATCCTTGTCAAAATGGAGGCAGCTGTTTGAGAAAACTTGGTGTGAGTCCTACATTACAGAGCCATGAGAGTGTTCCAGTGATCATCATGGCAAATGTTCCTCTAAAGCCTTTTACATGCAAATGCATGCCAGGATATGATGGGACATTGTGTGAAACAGATGTAGATGAATGTCTCCCATCCCCTTGTCACAATTCTGGAACATGCCACAACCTGGTTGGAGGATTCACTTGCAGCTGTCCTAGTGGTTTTACTGGAATGGCATGTGAAAGGGACATCAATGAATGCCTGTCCAGCCCTTGTAAGAACGGTGCACTCTGCCAGAACTTCCCAGGAAGCTTCAACTGTGTTTGCAAAACAGGTTATACAGGTAAGAATTTCCTTCTGCTTACATCATTATTCTCAGAGCAAATCAGAGAGATGAAATTGTGGCATGTCTAGCCTCCTTTCTTGTTTTACTCTAAAAAAATACCAACTCTGATAATATAGCTGAAGCAGAAATGAAAATTAAATAATAGTTATATTAGTATTCCCTTTCTTTTATACAAGACCCCTCCCAGTCTACAGTCTAATTGTCATGAATAGTTGATGGGATGCCCTGTTTCCAATTAGTAAGACAAAGAGAAGGATTTTATCTATGCTGTACATTCTATGTGCAGGATTTCTGTAGGTTCACAGTACTAGTGGTTGTACTTTATCCAATGTAACATTTACTTGTTTATTTACTTTATTTTTATCCCACTTTTCTCACAATATTAGGACTCAAGGTGGCTGGTGATGAGGATAGGCAGATAAAATCTGCTGGATTTGAACAGCCTCTTTCTCAAAATCCTGAATTCATTCATGACTTCAGTACTAGCATCTTTTTGCTTCCTACTGCAACCAGCTGCACCAGTGTAGTTACATCAGCATAGTACATCAGTAAAATTCTATGTATTATGAAGAAAATTCATTAAAATGAGCTCCCACCTACAGTTACAGACAATTTCACAACATGATCTCCTGCTGTGGGAAGTAGGTCTTAAATCCAGTTATTAATCCCAATTAGAGTAGACCCATTGAACCAGTGGAATGTACAAATTATTAAGCTACCAAATCCTCATTGATTCAGTGCTACTGCTGTCAATGGGACAAACATTTAGCTTTAGATTTCAACCTTAAAATTAGAGGTACTATATTTTTATGGAAGTTACCTGAGAGTTTGACCTGACAATGAGCCAAATAACAACTAAACATTAAAGCTTGGAACATTCCATCTTGTTAATATATGACAGTGAAGTTAGTATAAAAATAAATAATAATATACTAACTTGAAATAAAAGATGCCTGTGAGCTTTTTTGTCCAAAAGAAGCACTAAGCGTTGTCAGCTTCAGCTTCATTTAAAGACTATATGGCAACTGACACATGTTCTCTGCAAAAGCTTGACATAAAAGATTTTGATGGGATCTTTCTGTGTATACTTAGTCAGCGCAGTCTGCTGAGCCTCAGGTCACAAGTAATTACCCATAATTGAATGGCTGCTCTAATTAACCTAATGATCCGAGATTATGTTTCACATTGAATTGGCACATCAAATTGTTTGATGAGCAGCAGAGGCGAACAATTCCCTGGCACAGTTGCAGTAACCCTTTAAGCCATTAGCATCAGAGGGCAAATGGCCATGTGCTCAGTGGCTCACTAGGACACCTCAGCAGAACACTCATTTTAGCTATATCACACAATACATTCACATCAGTCCTGTAGTTTATAATTGTGGTTAATGAAACTACAGTGATTTGAGGAGATTAATGTCAAATATGATGTCTGCCATATGTCAGTTTTTCCATTGTACCACATTAATTGTCTCATCCCCCCTTAAAGCAGAAATATATCATTAAAGATATATAAATAATGGTGTCTGTAATATCAGTGCATCCAGTGAGGGGGAGCAGTTGTGCATTTGTCCCATATAAAATGCAGCATAGTAGGTGACACAAAATAGTCATGCTACAAATATATGTTAACACCGAAGTGAGTTCACATAGGGGAAATATGTGACTGGTAATGCTGCTCTCAATTTGACTTAATTAGAACATATGTGGTGTAACATTGTCACTATGAACCAGGAAAGTGTGCGCTGATGCACAATCTTTCAACTGTGTAGGTAATACCTACATCTCCAATTTTGCGAATTATATTGGAAAAAACAATGGAAGCAGAAATGTGTAGAAAAACAATTTCTACCAATTTCTACTGTTTTAGTATTTGTTCACACTAGTGAGGCAGCGTGTATGTCTGTGGATGGGGAAAGGGGAATTAATTCCAACCCACCCCAACAAACAATGCACATGAAAGATCTTCAGAGAAGTTCTGTTGTGTGGGTTGCTGTGAGTTTTCTGGGCTGTATGGCCATGTTCCAGAAGCATTCTCTCCTACTGTTTTGCCCACATCTATGGCAGGCATCCTCAGAGGTTGTGAGATCTGATGGAAACTAGGCAAATGAGGTTTATATATCTGTGAAATGTACAGGGTGGGAGAAAAAAACTCTTGTCTGCTTGAGGCAAGTGCAAATGTTGCAATGGGCCACCTTAATTAGTATTTTATGGCCTTGCAGCATCAAAGCCTCACTGGTTGCTGCCTAGGAGATCATTTGTTGGGAGGTGTTATCTGGCCCTGATTGAGTCTTGTCTGGAATTCCCCTGTTTTTATTGTGCTGTGTATTTTGAAAATGAAAATAAAAATATTGCCCATAAAGCAGAAAAGGGGACACCTTCTACAGTAGCGGTAGAGAAATTATAGTCTGTGGGCTCTATGCAGCCCCTTAAATCCCTCTTATGTGAGATACACTCACTAACACACACACACACATATATATCTCACACATATAAATACACACACACATATACATACACACACATACCCCTCCAGAACTGAACTTTTTGTTACTGTTTTTTTTTGCACCCATAAACCAGTCAGATGAGTTTAAAACTGCTACTGTAGTTTTTCTCCCTGTGGTGTGCAAGTGATCAAAAGATGAAAAAAGGGTTAAAAGTTAGCCATAAAGAAACAGTAGATATCTCATATCATTTCTAGTGTGGGGTTTATATGGAGATGGGGCCCATGAGAAGAAAGGATTTCAGAAACTGACTCCTGGAACTTTCATTTGGTGTTTAGCTGGAACACAATTAGCTGTTTCTTGATTGTCAAATCCATGTGTCAGGAATTTTGACTGTCCCTTATTGCTATTTTGAAAAGTTGGATATACTGATTGTCACTCTACATAAAAAATGCAACAAAGAATCTGTGTCCTCCACAAATACCTTTAACTCATAGTTTAAAAGAAAGAAAACAGATTTTTTTTTCTCCTTAAAGGAATCAGTAAGACAAAACCAAACTTAATTACAGGCTGCAACAAGGTGATGACATCTCCTGAAGGCTGTACAAAAATTGCCTATATAGCAAAGCAAAAATAATAGAAAAGCCTTGTTTGAAATTGCTCCCTTTCTTTATGTGCATTTTTTCTATTAAAGTTGTCCTTATTCCAGCTGGGGAAATAATTCAGATATTAATATCTTTTTCTCTTGAAGAGTAAAAGTAGTTGGGATGATTTCAAGAAGAAATACAGCAAGTAAAGAGAAAACCTATCAAAACTTACCCCTCTATAGTCATGTTTCACTTTAAATTGCAGTCTTTCATGAAAACAAAAAAAAGTTATTTAAAAAAATTGCAGAGCTAAATATGTACTGCAATTCTTCCATAAAATGCAAAACAGCCTTATAGGGCTCAATCCAAAGTTCCAACTAGAGTAAACCTACTGAAAACAAATGACTTACATAATAGATTTCGTTCATATTGATGAGTCTACTCTAACATGCCCTATTTCATGAAACTGCTAGCAGAGAGTGTTGAATCATACATTCATATGTTTGCATGCTCCATTTCTCAACCAGATGTGTAAAGGGCCCCAACTGGATTAGGGCACGTAACTGTTGTAAGATGTTCTATTAATGTTCTGTAGTGCTGTCTGTTCTGTTCATATGTATCAATGCATTATAGAGTTTTAGGACACCTTTTATCTCAATACAGAGAAGGTACAGAGATTTTCATTGACTTATTATGTTGGGTCAGCTGTTTTTTTCCCTTTATCACTCTGTTTTGCTCATGCTAGTGAATACTAAAGATGTTTAACTGATGTTTAAGCATTTTGTAGTAATTTTAAGTATTAATGATGATTATATGTTTTGTTTTGAGAGCTGGACTATGACTGTAGAGACCAGAGTTTGAATCTTTGCTCATTTATGGACAACTCTGGGTGGCTTTGGGCAAGTCAAAGTCTCTCCACTTAGCAGAAAACAAAAGCAAATCACCCCCTTAATCACCCACCCCCCAAATGATAATTTGAGCACACAAAAACAATAATATTTTGTTTTAGAAAGAATTGATTGAAAGATGGACGATATCAGTAGATTGCCCTTTCTCTGAACTCTCTTATTTCTTACATTCAGAACTATACTAGAATAAATGAGGGAATTTTTGTTAAATCTTTTCAAAATGTTAGACAAGAGGTTGGTCTGTAACCACCTCAGAAAAAAACTAGCACTTTATCAAATCAGGGCTTTTTGTAAAAAAATGTGCAAATGTTCTGCACAAATCTTTAATCTGTGGCCAATGATTTGGGAGAGTCACGACATCATGGGTAATCCTATAGTTATCTGTATGGAGGAAATGTTTATTAATTTAAATGATACTCCTTGGCTGTAGTATACACTGTCTTTCAGAACCTGTTGCTTAGTTATTACATGGCCATAAATGGAGATCCAGTTAAATATGATTGAGCTGTGCCTTTCACACATAGTACACCCATGCACACAAACATGTTAACGCCAAAAGACTAAAATATTATTTCTGTTGATTTCAGTTCACTGTCAAGTGACCATTTTAAAACTACGTTTGTTTACCCACTCCTAAAAGGTTAAAGTTCTACTCAGTCCTTGCTTTGTTAGGATTGCAGCTTTGGTTGGCCATATCTGTTAAAAACTTTTTTAAAATTCTTCTCTTATACTACTACATGCTTATGTATATATAGAGTAACTATTGCCCTCATAAACATATCCAAGTTAGCCACTGCCCAATTTGGTTGAAATAGACAAAGTGATCAAAATATATAAAACTGAAACTTGTAGATCAGCCTTTTGCAGTCCTTGAAAGTTCATGAAGCTAGTCATTTGGTGATTTGTTTAACTTCAGGGCATAATTTACCCAAGCAAATCATTGGTTTTGTTCATCAAAACATTATTATTTGAAGCATATGCAATTAATTATAGAGCTGTGAAATGTTTTGGAGGGGGGAAAATAGCCTGAGGAATGTATTTTAAAAAATCAACCCGTCTTCAGGACTGCAAATTTAATTAAATTCAGTGGAGAAAATTCTACAAAAGCCAATAAAACTATGCAATTTGCACCATGCTGAGAATCCCTTGCAGTGATGAACAGCTACATATCCTAGCAATTCTATCATAGTGAATGGGGTGAGTCATGAAAGTTGAAAAAAAAGACTTCACATAAAAAAGTTATAGCAAATGTCATGTTGCATTATTAATGCTTTTAAATAGCTGCCACTTTTATTTGGAAGGTAAAGCAATTTGAGTCCATATATTCAGGTGTTACCTCATTTCTCTAATAGATGGACACAGAGGTGTGCTGAGCCCTGCTTCTGTATGTCATCAGTTTCCTCATATGGAAAGTGATAAGTTTGGAAATGAGAGGTTCCTATTTGTAGATAGATGTCTCCACATTGGCAAGAATCCTAGAAAATCAGGGATCTAGGTCACATGGATAGCCTCCCCACAAATCTGAACTCTGATCTATGCTCATGTACCCTCATATACAATGGCATAGCAGAATGGTGACCTATATAATAGCAAAACAAGGTTTGACTTGAACATCTGGGGGGGGGGGAGCATTTTCAATGGTTGAATCAATGGAAGCAAAATCTGTGGATATGGAGGGCAGACTGTAGTGTGCTCTTCAATTTCATCAGGACTAGAAAGTAGTGGACAACCATGCTCTGTTGATGTTTCTGATTCTTACCAATTCATCCCCTATAGCAGGCTAGTAAAAAATGAGAACTAAGTAATATTGAACTTCAGTAGTTGAATTCCCTATCATTAAGCCTCAATTTCAGGATCTTATGATACATTCGATACCATAAAAATATTCTATGGGTTTTCCACATTGCTATACTTTTTCTTTTTTCTGTACTTATATTAAAACTTATCCTGAAACTCTATGAGTTAACAGTCATTTCATGCTAATGTCCTCATGGTAGGCTTGGGCGGTTTCATTTGTTAATTTTGTAATTCGTTATTAATTCATATTTAAATTAGCTTACAATCCAATATTGAGCCATGCAGGAATAGTGTGAGGAGTAAATTAGATTCGAAACAATTTTTTCAATTTATTTCGTAATTATTTTGTAATTATTTCGTAATTATTTTGTAATTATTTCTTAATTATTTTGGCATGTCTGGTGCAAGTTTTATAGTTGTTGTTTGTTTTATCACACCAACAGTCAACAACAGAGGGAGAGGGAAGCTTCAGAAGTTCCCCCTGTCCCATTTGGAGGTTTTTTTAGCATATTGCGCAATCGCGTCCGCCATTAACGAATCGATTCGTAATTATATGAAATTTTGTATATTTCGAAATTTTTAAAAGGAAAATTTTGAAATTATTAAAAAAAATGAAATGCAAGGGCCCCTTAAAAACAAAAGGAGTTTAGAACCAAATTTTTCCGTGGTTACCCAAGCCTACCTCATGGTTGTATCGTTTCATGCAAATGTTTCCATATTGTTCTGAAACCAAGTTCCCTAAATGCAATTTTATTTTCACTTGGTACAAACCTCTGATCTGGCAATTCTTTTAATTCTTCCAGGGAAAATCTGTGACTCCAATGTCAATTACTGTGAATGCAATCCATGTTTCAATGGAGGTTCTTGTCAGAGTGGGGTGGAAGGATATTACTGCCATTGTCCATTTGGTAAGTAGACATGTTGGTGCTTCATTAAGATTCACTGGCAGAACTGTAATTCTTTCAATGCTTTCATTTTTATGAGTCAAGAATGTAATAAAACAAAGATGACCAACAATAAGTTGAAACTCTGCAACAGGAGGTATATAAACGCAGAAAAGGAAAACAGCCTGTGTTAGCTGATCAGCTTTCTTTAAAAACACAAAAGCATTACTGCTGGATCATATCAAACGGCTGTCTAGTCCAGTACTTTGTTTTCACAATAACTAAACAGATGCCCATGGTAAACCCAAAAGTAGGACATGAGGACAGGAGCACCACCTGCTGTTGTTCTCAAGCGCCTTTTTGGCTTTGATTCATGGAGAAAGAGTCATTCGTCATTACAAATAGTCATAGATAGCTTTACTAATAGGTCACAGGCAAAGGATCCAAAGAGGAATTCATATTAAAAAAAACAGAATATGGATGGTAGGGACCATATGGTAGTAAATAGCAAAGTGAAAATACCACACATACTCTTAAAAATATATTGTATGCTGACTTGAAATCTAAAGAATAGAAGATGTACTGCCAATTCAAGGAAGAATGTAACTATTGACTCTTTTTATTTTATATTATTTGGCAAAGCAGTCACATATTTAATATTCATATTTTTGCTTAGTTGTTCAAATAGGCTTTCAAACACAGAAAACAAAAGCAGCACACAACACATCCAAAAGGAATGTTGGTATAAGGAAAATTAAATTGCATTGAGTTGCTGACTAAATATGCTCTTATAAGTGGTAATTGGGGGCACATTTGAAAAATTCATCTGTGAGTAGAACAGTAAGCAGGAAAATAATGTTTTCTTTTGTTTGAGTCTCTCACAGTTTGTGGGGAACTTGCTGGACAGAGAAGTAAAGTGATATCCACAATTTTATTGGTTACAACTGAAGAAGCCTGGATGAGTGCCAACTGACAGAAAATAATTTCACAACCTGCAGGAGATAGAATAGGCATGGACAAACATTTGCCCTCCAGGTTGTCTTAGACTTCAACTCCCAGAAATTCCAGCCAGCTTACAGGCTGTTAAGAATTATGGAAGTTGGTCCAAAACACCTGGAGTGCCGAAGTTTGTCCATGCCTGAGACAGAGGCATTCATGTCTTTAACGATAATCATTGGCAAGGCTCCCTGAGACAAAGGCAAGGTCTAGTCAAGGGTGGGATTTTGAAACCTCTGTGAAAAGAGGCCTCTATGTAGACGTCGTGAAGTTGGCCTTCCCCTCTTAATGGTCTCTCTTTTGATTGAGGCCCACCCGCTCGCCTCAGTGCAATATGAGTAATTTGTCAAATAGTCACTGTTGAATGTTTTTATGTTGAATGTTTTTATATTGTGTAAATGCTATTTTAGATTGTAAGTCGCTCAGAGCACCTTGGTGGAGAGCGACTAATTAAGAAATAAAGTGAAGTGAAGTGAAGTAATTTGCTGGTTGCCTTAGGGGTCAGGTAGGATTTTTTCCCCTTAAAGGAGAAAGAAGGGGGGCATGGAGTTACCTAGCCCATACTAAATTTGTTGGAGGAAGGAATGTATGAGAGTGGTGTCTTGTACTTAGGTTCCCTTTGGCTGAAATTTGGGGGGAGTAACAGCTGGTTTTTATCTTGACGCCTAATTGAAGGGAGGCCTCTGTAGGTTGCCAGGCTTGGGTGGCTAGAAAAGGGACTACCTTTTGGACTTGAATTGGCTCTCTTTCCAAAGGTTGCAGGATCTGGGGATGGAACCCCCCCCCCCCAATATGTCTTCCTGTATGATTGTGTCAGCGTAAACAACTCATTTAAGTTGGGTTTACATTCAGGATCTGTTGATTCACCCACGGTGCATAGGAGGTGACCATTAGATTTGACATCTGTCCCTCAGCAAAATACCTGAATTATGATGCTTTCCCTCAAATAATTGGTGGTTACCCAGGTATCACCAGTTTTGCAAGTTAGGTTAATAAAATGGCTGATTATCCATATGTATGTGTCTGGCTTCATTATTTCATGGTGAGACTGGGTACGGAAACTAATTGGGTACGGAAACTAATGTAACAATATTAAGGAATAAAAAATTCTTGTTTGTTACTCTTAAAAATAATCATAGTCAAGAAAAAATAAAGACAGAGGAGATTTAATTGTATGATTTCATGCCTTCAGTGAAATAAATACTTTGCCTGCATGTTCAGATCTTAATCATTGTTGTGTTGAATTATACAGGTGTTTTTGGAAAGCACTGTGAAGTAAATAGCTATGGATTTGAAGAACTCTCATACATGGAATTCCCCAGTATGGATCCAAACAACAATTACATTTACATAAAATTTGCAACTATCAAAAGTAATGCTTTGATATTATATAATTATGACAACCAAACTGGAGATCGGGCAGAGTTCCTAGCCCTTGAAATAACAGAAGAGAGGCTGAGATTTTCATACAACCTTGGCAGTGGCACTTATAAACTTACCACAGCAAAGAAGGTGGCTGATGGACAATTTCACACTGTTATTGCCCGGAGGGCTGGAATGGTAAGTATAACTATACAGAAAAATTAATAAAGCTTCCCTCAATTAAAATTCATTTTGGTTTCCAAGTAAGTGCAAGTAAATATGTGTGTGTTTTAGAAACTGAATTGTAGTTGGAAGCAAGTCTAGCTTTTTTGCTTTTGTTGTTCACTTAAAAATGTCCTAAGGCACTGAAGCAGATTATACAGAAGAAACTCTCAAATATGAGGATGATTAAGGAAGAGAATTAATGATTATCCAGCTTTAATTAATTAGTATAAATTGTGGGAAGAATAATTGCTGAGAGCTAATGAAGAGGCAAGTGTAATGCTTGTGATAGTGAAAGAACACAGTCTCTTATAACTGAAGGCTATATAATGGATAGGCATTTTATGTTTGAACATGTTTGAATGTTTTGTGAAATCAGCAAATCACCTGATGTTAGGGCAAAATGTAAAACAGGCAGGATTGTTCATTAATGGTAAATTGTATCCACTTCTGATATGCAGAAGTTTTCAATTCACTTCCTAAATATATCTCATCATAGCTATAACCAACAGGAGCGACAATGATGCAATGGGTTAAACCCTTGTACCAGCTGAACTGCTGACCTGAAGGTCAATGCTTTAAATCCGTGAGAAGGGGTGAGCTCCCATCTGTCAGCTCTAGCTTCCCATGTGGGGACATGAAAGAAGCCTCCCACAGGATGGTAACACATCTGGGTGTCCCCTGGGCAATGTCTCTGCAGACAACCAATTATCTCACACCAGAAGTGACTTGTAGTTTCTCAAGTCGCTTCTGACATGATTATAAAAAATCACCAACAAACTTTAAATGAGGCACTATTTTAAGGCACTACTTCATGTGTCATCGTGAAAAAAATATTTTATTATTTAAACATGTATATGATCATGTGAATGTGTTCAAAAAGGTATAAGGTCCATGTAGTCTTAAATTATTTCAGAACCATGTACAGCAATGTTGAAAGTCAAGTTCAAAACTTTGGCTGGTAAAGAAGATGATCAGAAAGGTTTCTGCTATGTATCAGTTTATCTCTGTACTTGAACTTTTCCTTCTCTCTATCATTGTAAGCCTAAATTGTTAAGGAGGAAATACTTTTGTCTGCAATTAATTCTTCTCCAAAATCATCATTATCATCAAGTGGATACCAAAAGTATATACATAGCTCTCTATTTGATTCCCTACAGGGTAAAGAGAATGTTATGGAAAACTGGTAAAATAATTAACTTGTCAGATTTGAGATACAGCAAAATGACATAGTAGTAACTCACATAACTAAAGAGGTAGCAGTAGCAAATTAACTGCTAAAAGTATGAGCAGGAACATTTGACTGTCATTAGAAATTTGGATTGTGTGAAATCTAATAAAAAAAAAGTGTCAGATAATTTTTTCTTCAGGTGTGACTTCCATTCATCTCACAGAACATATGAAAGGGGTTCAGAGAAATTCCCTGTAAGGAACTTCATAAAAAGTACTGAGGGTTTTTTTTAATTAGTAATGTAGACATTGAGATTGTACAGTTAAATGTATAAAGCTGTGTCCAATGCCTGATTTTGACTTTATCAACCCTGTCTTCTGCAAATCACCCAGTCCCCCCCCCCAAAAAAAATCTCCTCTGGAGTTTATCTTTGGACAACTCCAAGGACTGCAGGGATGAGGGGTCAATACATTGCCAGTAATGTTGAATTGGACTTAGGCCAAAACATCTTATGTCACAAAAAATAAAGCACATAAATAAAAATATATTTGTTAATTTTCAAAGGTGGGAGAGACTTCACTCATTGTTACAATATTAATTATTAAACTGAAAAACAGTAGTTGTGCCCAAACCCCTTAATGATTACACTCAAAAGCTTTCTGTGTTTCCTTAGCTTCTATGAACCATTATAAACAAAACCCAAGCTGTTAACTCTCACATTTTATTGAGTCTTAGGAAAATGGGATGCCTGGATATTTAGCCTATTATACTTAAAATTGCTCAGGGAAGACATGTAGAAAACCTGTTGGCTTTATTTTTCCATTGGTAATATTTTGTAGAAATGTATATTGCAACAAAAATCATCTTAAGGTTCATTACTGGACCTTACATCATGATCTGTTTTTTTTAAAAAAAACAAAAAACAAAACAGGTCTTGTGTTGGAACCATGGAAGGGAAAAGGAGAATTTTAAACCAGGGAATATTAGTTTGTGTTGTTGGATTACAACGTCTAGCTATTCTATCCAACATAGTCTGATTTCACATAATCTAGTCGTTATTCCATACTAAGGGCTAAAAGCATAAGGAGAAGATTCACATCTTCTGTAAAGAGTACATTATAAATTCTCAAAACTTGCTGTTCTCTAGAACTTACATTTTTCTGACTTCATTCTAAATAGTATTATCTTTTCTACAGACATAAAACAATTTAATGGCTATATATTATACAAGGCCAATCCATGGTTCTAAATGGTTCTAAAGTACTTTCAAAACTAGGGGGTGCTGGTGTTTTGCTTCTAAAGTGTTGTTAAAGTTGTTGTGGTGAAAATTTCAGAACTCTAACAAAACTTTCAAAATTTTGTTATAAATGACAGTTTCTAATTGGTTCTGTCATAAAAATCACCAATAATAATGAAATAATAATGAAATTTTGAAAGTTTAGTTAGAGTTCTGAAATTTTCACCGCCAGAACTTTAGCAACACTTTAGAAGCAAAGTACCAGCACCCTCTAGTTTTGTAAGTATTTTAGAACTATCTAGAACCATGGAATGCCCAAGTCTACTATATATTATCATAGGAAACCTTACCATGATTGAGTCAGTTTTAAACAGTGTATTTTAATGTTGAGACAAATGTTTTTAATGTTTATGTTTTCATATAATTTATTCATGCCCTGGCATTGAATGTTTGCCATTTGTATGTTGTGCTCCGCCCTGAGACCCCTTCGGGGTGAGAAGGGCGGAATATAAATGTTTTAAATAAAGAAATGTTCTGGATTCTGCCTTCACAATCAAATGTGTAATTATATTAAATTATGTGGACTAAAACATCTGGATTTAGTCATGACAAAAGCAGATATATTTTCCATAAATTTATTTAAAGTTGATTTATTCAGTTCCTGTTAGTTGAAGGTGTAATATTGCAGTTGGGATTAAATATTAGATTTAGACGTTAGAATCTGAACAAATATAGAAAGATGATAATTAGTGTTCTACTATATAAAAGGATTTTCAAACCTTTCATACATAAAATGTATGGAAACCAAAGCTATCAAATGATAGCTTCTTTGCTTAAGTACATAAATGTGAAATGAATCAAAACTTAATGGTGTATAATAGCAATACATAAATGTTAATCTTGATGTGCATTTTGCAGGCAGCTTCTCTGACTGTGGACTCCTGCTCTGAGGAACAAGAACCAGGCTATTGCACTGTTAGCAATGTAGCTGTATCTAGTGACTGGTAAAGAACATTTCATTTTCTTTGTTGGTAATTACAGGTTCAGTTGTCTTCAGAGAACAAAATAAAGTTTTGTGTTGAATAATACTTATTTATTCTATGGGATCAAATAATCTTTAGCCCACATCCTTTGACCGTATTGAGTTATGTACTATATAGTGCTTTTTGAAGGAGATAATCCTCATAAACCACTTTTTAAAAAATACTGAAGACTACAGTTAGAAGCCCCCAGTGATAAATTAGTAGTGATAATATTAAGCATCTTGCTATTGACACTATAAAACTGATAAGTCACAGTTAAGTTTATTGGCAAAACCACACTGACCTCTTTCTCTTATACAGATGAAACTGGTCTATGATGCAATGTCAGATTAACTCTTTAACAATATAAGAAAATCCATTTTTTCAGTGACAGTTTAAATTAAATTTGAAATATAATATGTATTAGGAATATCTACTGTGGACCAGATGTAATTTACAAATCAAATACATCTGCTCCCTCCAGGAGCCTACCACATGTTAAAATACTGCCTTAAAGATAAGTATAGTTTCAGTCATAATGAAAAATAAGATATTTACTTAGTTATACAAGATAAGGATGTCCCAGCCTTGAATTTTGCTTTGCCTTTGAGAGATGTAACATTGTCCTGCCAACAGTATTTGGCAGGAGACCTAAACTAAATATGGATAGTGGAGAAAATGGCAGCTTGCCTTATTTCCTGTTGTTATTTCACTTGATTATTTTCCTGTTCTAACCATTGCTAGATACCATGTTTATCCTAAGTACTTCTGTTTATTTTTTTCTATTATGTCTGTAAAGCTCAAGTCCTTTGGAAAGGTATGGAAACAGAATCATAGCAGAGATATGTCACTGAACAAAACACAGCCTTTCAGACAATACACTTTTGCTATTGTAAATATGTACTTTGATGAGAAAACTTAGCAGTCCGGTGTTTCCTGATTTCAGATTATAATTTGAACTGATAACTGAAGCTTTTCCAATTAATGTCATTACATTATATGGAAAGGCTTGGATCAAGTTATGACCTGAGATCAAAACTGCAAAGCTTTGTTATGAAAGAGAATTTCTCTCCCTAACAAAGTAAGGGAGAGAGAGGAATTTTTCCTCACCTCCCCCAAAAGAATGGAATGGATGGTTCCAAATGGAACCATCCAGAAAAGGGGGTGTGGCCAGCAAAGACCTGGCCTGCCTCGTGGTCCTCATTCAGGATCAGAACTTCGACCCACCACACCCGCCCATTAACAGTATAATCTTTGGTTGCCTTTTGGGGACCGGGTAGGAATTTTTCCCCTCTCATGTTCTGGGAGGGTTTTTTGCCTACCCTGTACTGTTTAGGGGCTAGATAGTATGGTTGGGTTTTGTTTATAAATAGGCTTAGCGGAAAAAGTTTCGGTTCACACAAGGCACCCCCCTTTTAGGGGTGTGGGCCATTTGCTAAAACACTCACCGGAAAGTTAAGTTATTTGGTGAGGTGAAATTGGATGGCCCAGAAATGGGAGAGCCTGGTCTCAACAAGTTTGAGAAAGACCCTTTCACGTTTCCCTTGGAGGTTGCCCAGGTATGGGTACCAGGGAACCTAGGTTTTCACCCCAGTTAGCCGAGGGGTATACCCGGCTGGGATACCTCTTTGGCTTTGTACCCAAGTTCATTACCCCTGTTAGTTTAGGTTAAGGCAAAAATTAAATAGGTAACATTTAAATAAAGTTGCCCATAATTTAATCCAAATTATGGTGTGTTGTCTCTTTATTTCGGGGATGGGCAGGCAAGTATATATCTGTAATAAGTGATCCATCTGAATTGTCTGTTTCATCAGTTGGAGCCAACAATGTCACAAGTATATTTAAATCCTCTGTCACACATACATACCACTCGGTAATCAAGTCAGATTTGATCCTTGTAATGGCATTATCATGGTTTTATATCTGTACTATAGACCAGGGTATTAAGGGTTCCAGTGTTGAGGAACCTCCTCTCGACATTTTGGACTACTTTTTCAATCTCTCCCTATTCATTATGGTGCTTCAGGGAGCAGAAGGCTGAATGTTCCCTACCACTGCTATATATAGAGTTGTAACTATGTTCAAAATAAGACCTGTGCTAGTAATGAATAAGTACACAGTCCTTTTAAACTCAGTAGAGTTTGCTCCCAGACAAATGTTGTGGTCACTGGACTGCATTTTGGTTTTAGTAACCCAATATAAACATAACAAAGAAGAAACGTTATTATAGCAATAATTTATTTTTCCACAAGAAATAACTTTATTATTCTCATCAAGTTTGCCATCTAATGGTTTTAATTAAATGAAATATAGCAAACCAACTAAACTGTGCCTTTCCAAAATGTCAACATTAATTTTACATCTGCATTGCAACATTGTCTAGATTCTAGTCAGCATTCGACTCTTTGTGATGATGTTGTTATTAGGAAACCATTCCTTTTATCCAAAATTGACATGAATTTCCCTTGTGTCATCTCAAATACTTACTAATAAGGACTAATTTTGTTGAATGTTTTCTGAGTAAATCTACATGGAAACTCAGGATCACATTCTCAGCAACCCACTGTTTTATAAAATAAGATGCTACTTTTAATTATTCTCATTTTAAGTGGATCATGATGAGTATGTAGAGACCTGTATTTCTTTTTTTGACCTTAATTTTCCTGTTATTTGGTTTTTTTCCACTTAGGACTTTAGATGTACAACCAAACAGAGTCACCATTGGGGGTATCAGATCCCTAGAGCCAATACTTCAAAGAAAAGGACAGGTGGAAAGTCATGACTTTGTGGGTTGTATAATGGAATTTGCAGTCAATGGACGTCCTTTGGAACCCAGCCAGGCCTTATCAGCTGAAGGAATTTTAGATCAGTATGTTATTTATACAATATGAGAATAATAATTCACTGGTTCTGAGATTTTTTGTGACCATTGTATGTTTGATCATTGTACATCTGATTTTTTTTGTAATCATTGTACGTATGTCTGAAAATCAGTGTTATGATATACATAAATATAGCAATCCAGCACAGTAGCTAGTCACAGGGGGAGGGCACCCATGTACTTATCTAAAATATATGTACTTATAACTTCCCTGAAACATATCGTTTGACTAGAAGTGTTCCATTCTTGCAATACACCATCTGGCATCCATTTCCATATCTATTATAGTGTATATGGGAATGCAAATATTAAGGAACCTTCTCAGGTTTCATATCCTTTGATGTATATGACTATACCAGATTTTGACCATAAGGCTGTAGCCTTGCACCTCATTACTTACCCTTAAATGCCACAGTGGTGCGATGTTGTTGAAACTTCTCAAGCACAAGCATGATGAAAACCTACACCACAATATATTACAGTTTGAAATAATTTCATTATACATTTTCTGTAAAACAGAAACTATGAACATTTCTTTTAAAATGCTACTCTGTGTCTACATGGGTACCTGATATGTCTGCATTGGTAAGAATCAGTACATTAACTGCCCTCTTGCCGTGCAAATGTCTATCTCACTTCCCCTCTTATGTATTTCCTCTGTATCATCTCCCCCTGTGAACTTTGTTTCAGAATGATTGATTAGCAGAACCTGTTGTTCTTCCGTCCTGCTGTTTGAACTTAGCAATTGAATAAGAGCATGTCCTTAGTGGTTAGTTCATCCCTCTGCCTTTCATGATCTCAGCTTGTGGCATAAGATTTCTTAAAGCTCTACCATACAGATCAACATCAATTACATTTTCACAAACAGCCAAGTGTTGGCCTTCACCAATGAAAGATAGTCATGTCTGTAATTTTTAATCTCTCATCCACCAGCATATTTTTCCTTTCATGACTTGGAAAATTTAATAGTGAAAAGTGGTTTCAGGCTTCCTTTCAATTTTTCTTGGCAGATAATAAAATAAAAATCATATTGCTTTACATTCAACAGATACTTCCAAGTTTTTCACTCTTGTTACTCTTCTGGATATATTATATTGTCAGACTATGTGCAATATGATTATTATTCAGTAACTAAATCTTGCTGGATTTCTTTTCCATTTTAGTTTTAATATGTTAAACACACAAACATACACACAAACAAGAGCTCACAAGTGGTCAGGGTTTACTGAGGAGCCGTAAATTGAATAGTATGTGGGTTTCATTTATTCTGGCTGTAAAAATGAAGCCGATTATGTCCATGAAGCAGTTTGACATGATTTTAAGCAACAGTGTATTAGAAACATAATATAAACCAGTCAGAGCTGTTATCTTCTTTACTTTTAAGTGATTTAAGGAGGAGATTTTGGGAAGGGAAATTTTGATCAAATACACCAAAAAGAAATAGTTAGGAGTCTGCAAAACCCTACATTTTGAAGCAAGCCAATCTGATCTGTATTTCCCCAGTTGAATGTGCAGATTAGAAAGAAGTTATTCTTCCAATTTTGTGCTTTTCTGAATTTTGTGATGGAATTTGCAGGTTTAAAAAGAACCATTGGAAACTGCATATGAAATATATAGCATAAGATGAAGTAAAAAATAAAATAGATATGTTGTGAGAAAGTGTATGTTTAAATACATATGTAAAATAACACTCTTTTGCCTGAAGATTTTTTTAATAAATCTGCACATTCATCCAAACAACAGTATAATGGGTGAACACATATGTAATTGATATGGACTGGAATCTTTTGAAACAAAAGTAAATTTGGATATGCAGGTGGTTTGTGAAAAATGGGGTTGCATTTTTCATCTTTAAAGTTTGTTTTTCAATTATTCAGTCATTTAAACTGTACATTGTGTTTATGGGAGCAATTTTTCTGTGAGCACTACCTGCCAAGATAATATTTAGCGTTATGATTCAGCACAATTCACCTAGGAGTGTGCTTTGCAAAAGATAAATAGAACACGGACTTTGGTATGCTTTTACATCTTAATAAATATGTACAGGATTGTGGTGTCCTAATACATAGGTAAATTTGCTTTGTGTAGGATATCAATTTAAACCCAGCCTGAAGGAAACTACCTTATACTTTTGGGAAGGCAAAGAAGATTATTGTCAGCTTCCTATCTTCAGTGTCATCCAAGCTATCTACAGGGTACCATATGCCTCATTTCTTTCACCACAGTACCATGCCACTTAATAGAATATGAATAGCACCCAACTTTGGAAGTTACTAGGTTAGAAAGAACCAAAACATTGCCTAGGGCTATCTGATATTGTGTGGTTTCATGTAGGATTCATTTTCTGAGGGATGCACGTAATCTGCAGTTGTTCCTGCACTTGTTTCCTTTATAGTTACTGCACTGATTTACATTATGATAACAATGCAGATTTAATTTCCATTGAAACTGATGCCAATCTAAATAGTTGCCTGATTTCTGACCAATAGATTCAAATCTTTGTGGGAGCCAGCAAAAGAAAAAGTAGCACTAAAAATCACATTAAAAAACAAAAACAAAAAGCTTTACATGGTGTATGTGTTTGTGTCTTGATGCTCATGGAGGCAATTAACCACAATCCATATTTTGTACTATGATTGCTTGTTTTCTATTCTGTCTGAAGACATAAAGAGACTTCATGAGGTTCCAAAATGCACTGGCTCCAGCTCAGCCCTGGCATTGCTGCTGAGATTCAGTATGTGATAATCCAGTGCTTGGCTCTCTTTATTCTCTCTCTCTCTCTCTCTCTCTCTCTCTCTCTCTCTCTGTTGCTTCAAGGGAATATTATCCTCTTTCTTTGGCACAGTTTGGTCTCAGGGAAAGGAGATTATTTCAGAAGCCACACTACATTTGTAGCTGCCAAAAGGGACTGGTCATTTCAAAGGATATTACAAATAAATTTCCTGTGAATTAAGCAAACGTGGGGGAAGGGTTGTGTGTGCTACACTAATCTACTTGGAAAAGAAGTAGGATTAAGAAATAACCAATAATACTGCATCACTGTGATTGTTTAGGTGTCCTAGACTGGAAGGAACTTGTGCTGTTAGCCCTTGTCAACATGGTGGCACATGTGTGGATTACTGGTCTTGGCAGCAGTGTCATTGCAAAGAAGGACTGACAGGAAAACACTGTGAAAAACGTAAATAGAGTTTCATTTAACCTATTTTTCTGTCTTCAATAAATTGCTCTGTTTTCTGGTTTGCACATGGTTTAAATATACAAAGATTGAATTCACTGTAACAGTAATTATGAAGAAAATATCGTGCTGTCCAACTCCACCAGGGTTCACCAATTTCAATGAGAAATCAATAATGAAAATACAGATGTTAAATCCAGGCATTCACTTTCTACTACATTGTAATCCATAATAGCAACCAGATTTAGTTTTGTTTGCTTTGACTTGAAAATATCTTCACCTTTGAGATGAGTTGGCATGAAACAGGACTGTGGAAACCTTCCCCCATTCTTTAGCTGGGAAGAGAAACGAGTTTTCATTATAGAAACAATTAAAAATCAGTCCATTTTCTCGGGACTTTTGACATCTGTATCTTTTGTTTTAAGGGAAAAGATCTGTAGAGAACTATGGATGACAAAAATGTAATTGTAAACTTCCCTTCTTTGTTCCAGATGTTACCGCTGACACTGCCTTGTCCTTTGAAGGCAAAGGTCGTCTTGACTACCACATTAGACAGAATAGGAAATGGGAATACGTGATGAGACACAGCATTGGAAATGCTATTTTGGAGCCCCAAAGTGTGGATAGTGTAGAAGTCAAATTCAGGACAAGGAGCAAAAGTGGAGTTTTAATTAATATCCAGGAAAGCAGCAATTACACCACTGTGAAGGTAAGACTTTAGTTGAGTCCATAAGGCTACTTACTATGAAATAGTCTTCTTCGGGCAGCCTTAATTCATCCCAGTCTTTTTCTTTATAAATACCAGAGTGTTGACTAGTGCTGGGCAGAACTCCAGCTATTGGAGGAGCTGAATGATTTTGCTTCTAATCAGCTTTGTCTAGACTCCAAGTGCTGGCTATTTGAATGGCAACCGGAAGAATGTTTGTTGCATATGTTCATAATGAAACATTGCACGCTAGAGTGAAATCCTTTCTCCTATTAACTTTTTCCCCTTCTTGTATAGACCTCTTTGAAAATGTGACCACCAAGCTCAAATTTAAAACTGAATTCACTCAAGTATACACATTTGTGTGTGGAAAAAATGCCAGCATAGAACCCTTCTTGTAAAGCAAGTGTTTAGTTTAAGCTGGCTGGCTATATTTCCTTCGGCAAAATCATAACTACAGGGATATCCTACTGGGACTATGCGAGCTGTCTAGTGAGATGATAAATTATTGTTGTGCCATAGGATAAAGAATTTTGGAAGTTTTAGTTGATCACTATATGTTTTGCAAGAGAAAAACCAATGGATTCAATTCTTACTGATGACTCAGTCAATTTAGTCATAACATTAAACAAGTAAAACAGTAATGCTGGCAAGCTTCTTTATTGGATAGGTGGAAGATCCAAGTTTTCTTGACTACTTTAATTGTTTCCATTTTCTCCATAACTTATAACAATCTCCAGTGTAAGACCACATTTTTAAGTTTTAGCCAGCATAAATTTATCAGTTTTATCTGGCTTTCAAGAGACTCGGAGGGATACAGATTTTCCATCACAAAAAACAGTAAAGTTGTGGATAATGCAATAATGTCCTAGGAATTTGCTAGTGAAATCGTTTGCAGTAATTTTTTTCAAGCAGGCAGATTAAAAAAAGGTATTTTCTGGGGCTAAATAATCAATTAGCAAGTTTAAAGGCTGAATAGGGAGGAAGCACATGGAAGAAGCAGGACAAAAATAGATAACAATACCCTGGACCTAGTTCTATGGATTAAGCCTTACACTGAAAATGCATGATGCATTTCTACTCAGCTGGTTGTGAAGTGTCAAAATGAGGATCCCAGAATTCTCCAGCCAAATATCCAATTATGGGAGCCTTTGATCCAACAGTATATACTCATAGTTGCAAAGATAAGCATTCACCATCCATCATTCTATGATCACAAGATCTTATTATTTCAGTGGTTGTGCTAACTGAAAGATTATGAGCATTGCAGTCAAAAATATTAAATTTTCCAAGAGCTGTTTATAACATAGATCACAAAACATACAACATCACTTTCTCTCTTTGGAAATTGAATCCCTTTTATTTAAAACACAAACTGGTTAAGATCAAAACAAAATAAACCATTCTGTTGTAGCATATTAATAGTTTTAATAATTTCACTTATAGATAAAAGGTGGGAAAGTACAATACATCTCTGATGCTGGAGTTGCTGGAAAAGTGGAAAGAAGTGTTCCTGAGGTTTATGTTTCTGATGGCCATTGGCATACTGTCTTCATTGAAAAGAATGGAAGTTCTACAATCCTAACAGTTGATAAGATCCATAGCAGAGACATCCTGCATGTTACACAGGATTTTGGAGGATTTGGTGTCCTTACAGTTTCTCTTGGTGGAATCCCATCTAGCCAGACACTCAAAAATACTGATCCAGGTAAGAAGAAAAAAGCCCATGTATATATGGGAAGTGTTGCAAATTGAAAGGAAAATTCAAGTTTTCCAATCAACTGCAACACATGAACATCATTCAACAATTGTGCTAAAGCAGTGTATTTAAACCTCTTAGTTTGAATCATGTATGAAAGAGTAAGAGAGAAAGGTTTAACATATTAATCTTATTTATGGATTAAATCAGCATTTCAGGTGTTGGTATTCTTGCCTGCTTTTTCTTTTTACAATATGGAAGAGAATGTTAGATACAGACACCAAGTCTTGCTAAGCAGTAAGGAGGTGGTGTTGCAGAGAGAGCTCTTAAGACTAAGAACCTGCCTAACTTAAGGGATTATCACCAGATAGAGTAACCTTGCCTGTTGTAAGTTTGCACTTCACATTTTTCACTTTGTCTAATAAAAATAATGAATGTGCATAACCTCGGTAGGTATGAGAAATGGTGTGAATGAAATCATATTTATGGTATTCACTGTTCCTGTCTATTGGTGTCTATTGATTATGCAGTCAAAACTGGAACTTGTCGAGTGAGAGGGAGACTGCTTCGGCCTGAGGCAGAGTGAGGTGGGGGAGAAGTCTTTTCTTGAAATGACTGATGTAGAAGCCGACAAGTTACAGGAATCTGGCCTGCAGTAGGAATGTATGCTCCAACATCTCTTTTTCATAAAGTGTTTTCTTAATATTGGATTACGCTGTATGTAACTTGCCAAAGATTTACAAAGGGAGGCTTAAAACTCTTGGTGAACTCATATGTTTAGAAATATCTGAAGAATCAGGAACACAAAGAAAAATGAGCAAGTAACAAAAATAAATGTACAAATAAAGCAGCAAAAAAAAAGACAGCATTCAAAAAAAAGATGTTTTAGGCAAGTTTCCCACTTCATAATGCAAACTGCTGTTGTAATGATCTCTTTAGATAACACTTGTGAACATAGCCATACAGCCTGGAAAATGCACAGCAACCCAGTGATTCTGGCCACGAAAGCCTTCAGGAAAAATATTTTTATATCACATTTTTGCCTGAAGGGTTGGTTGATTGATGCTCTGACTTTCTCTCAAGAAAGGGACTCAGGGCAACAAGTTTAATTATATTACATATGACTTGATTTTGTTGCTAGTGAGATCAGTGCCCAGATAAAAAGCACAAAAAGATGTCAGTTTACCCACCATTATGTACAATACACCTTTGCCATATGTGCAGGCACCATAGCATCTAATTTTCTGATATGTTCAGTGTTTCTGCACAGGGACACTGTAGTTGGGAGAATAATGTTACGTTGTTCTTTCTCCATGCATGGAAGTTTATCTTAAAATGGACTGAACCTGAGGTATTCAAAAGTAAGTCTAAACATAGGCACATGGTAGTTTTCTGTATACATTCCCGTGGCTCTGAATAATGAAAATGGATTTCTTGAATGCAAAAGCTTTGAAGCAAATGAACCTATGGACAATGTACTTATATTAAAATTCAGGAAACACTTTCTTCAAGCAACTGAGGGTCAAAAAGCTGTGGGGAACAAGCCAGATCAGGACCCTGGTTTGGATCCTAATCCTTCGTCTTGGGGTGTAACTTCTGAACCAAATCACTTTACATGTCATATTTGCTGTTTGCTTTGAGCCAATGGCAGATGATTGGTCCTTGTAACTAGAAGATTCAAGGGGGAGTGAACCAATAGAAGGCAAATGTGTGCCTTCCTCAAGCAAAGGTGTCTTAGAATGGAAGAAATGTGGTATTTACATTTTTTTAATCATTTAAATTTTAGTATGACGTGGTACCAATCTTGAATGGCACAGAGTGGATGTCTTTAAAGATAAAGATTTCTTTCGCATTATCTTTTGCATTCATATCCTTTCCCTTGTGCTATCATTTCTGAAGGGGAAAAAATTGCACCCAAAGCAAGTGCATTGTTGCACATAGACTTCTCCTCAACCAGAAAAACTCTGCTGAAAAGAAATTGTGATATTACTTAGTTTTTCATATCAGTGTTATTTGTTCTGATGGCTTTGCTTTCACACTGTCCACACAGAAAGAGTGACATTATTCAAAAAGTTTGAAGGTAATGCATTGTTGGTTGGTAGGTCACAATGCATTTTCATGTACTCAGGCTACCGTCATAAAAATCTCCAGTTGAATTTCAGAGTTCAGTTGTAATCTGGTCACTGGCTGACAGAGATGTGCCCATTTGTAAGCACCCTGTTTTAGCCTAAAGGAGTTTCATTTCATCTCTGTTTTATTTCTAAGCTTCTGAAGGCAGTCAGCTATCAAAGCAAAAATATGTGTAAATCTCCAAGTTGCAATATGTAGTGAAAGTTTCAGAAATGTAGGTTAATGCATAAATTTTAAATGGAGCTCTGCTCAAAAAAGGCAGCTGCCATCAGCTAACAAACAGCACCTTGGACCATCATCCATTAAAAAAATCCCACAATTTTAGGAAAAGAGATTCAGGCTGCATTCCTTATTTTGTGTATTTAATTGTAAGATCCACCGAACCCATGAAAACTGATATCAGAGTAGATGTGTATAAGATTGCACTGATGAGACCATCAGTGCAATCACTAGGAACAGTTCAAATCCAGGAAATGCTTACAATTGTTTGGATTGTGTTTTAATATTTCTAATATGTAGATAGGATATTAGAGGAAAAGATAAAGTAGTTTGGCCATGTAATGAGAAGACAGGAAAGATTGGAGAAGATAATGATGCTGGGGAAAATGGAAGGAAAAAGTAACAGAGACCGAGCAAGGGCAAGATGGATGGATGGTTTCCTTGAAGTGACTGGCTTGGCCTTGAAGGAGCTGGGGTGGTGATGGCCAATGACTGGTCCAACAGGTCACAAAGAGTCAGAAGTGATTGATTGATTGATTGAATGAACAAACAACAACCACGATTTACATATTTGCATTAATTTGTATTCTCCAAGACCCTAACAACAACTGGCAACAAAGATCCACCTAGTCAAAGCCATGGTATTCCCTGTAGTAACCTACAGATGTGAGAGCTGGACCTTAGGGAAGGCTGAGCGAAGGAAGATAGATGCTTTTGAGCTGTGGTGCTGGAGGAAAGTGCTGAGAGTGCCTTGGACTGCAAGAAGATCCAACTAGTCCATCCTCCAGGAAATAAAGCCCGACTGCTCATTGGAGGGAAGGATACTAAAGACAAAGTTGAAGTACTTTGGCCACATCATGAGGAGACAGCAAAGCCTGGAGAAGACAATTATGCTGGGGAAAGTGGAAGGTAAAAGGAAGAGGGGCCGACCAAGGGCAAGATGGATGGATGGCATCCTTGAAGTGACTGGACTGACCTTGAAGGAGCTGGGCGTGGTGACGGCCGACAGGGAGCTCTGATGTGGGCTGGTCCATGAGGTCAAGAAGAGTCGGAGACGACTGAATGAATGAACAACAACAAAGATCCTAAAATTAGTTCAGGCTGAAACCCCATTATTTATAATGGCATAATGAAATTGTGTCCCTTTTATATCATGACAATATCAGTTTGCTTTTTGGATTATTTTTGAGGGGATATTTTCAAGCTATGGGTGGTTGATCCATGGATGCAGAATATGGGGATACGGATGGCTGACTGTATTGACATTGCACATTATTTACTGCTAAGTAGATAGCTTGAGGGGAGTTTTTTCCTTTTTATCATTTCTAATAATGCTAATCTTTTGTGTGTCGAAATTAAATATCCATTTTTTTAAAATCTAAGACACATTTTTCCTCCATATAAAGATCTCTTAAAACAGAGTACATCTTAGAATCACAGGTGCTTTTATACACACACACATTCTGTTGTGTCACTGAAATTAGTGTGCATCTTACAATCGATGGTGTCTTTGAATCGAAATATGGTAATTAACTATTTTTTTTAGGTATCAACATCAAACAATTCCATATAGTTTGCTTGAAATGTGGTTATTTGTAGTAGCATATTTTAAAGGTCTCCTAACTCTCAATTCTGCTGACCTCAGTAATGTTTCCTTCTGAGTAAAGAATATAAGATTGCACTTTTAATTATTCAGAGTTATCACATTGACCCACACATTTGGGAAGATTTACAGTTTTACAGTGGACTTGCATTTATGTTGTTTAGTAAAGTTGGGTGCGGGTACACATGTTATCAAAGAAGATCAGAAGGTTAACCAAAGATGAAAAAGTCAATTTTCCAAATCATCTCCTCTCTATAGAAAGCACATTAATGCATTGCCATTTTCAAGTAATCTTGGTGATAGGTTTCTCTCTCTCCAGTAAACACACATATTCAATGAAATTTGTACACTTCAGGCATCTAAAAAGAGCGTTCTGGGCCAAATACTGGATAATCTCAGTGATGTGGTGATATCTTTAAAACTATTCTTTTTTCATAAAACACTTCAATAACTGTTTCAGAAATAACCTTATCAGCAATTGTTGATCTTATGAGCAAATTTTGAACAAATGGGCTGTGAACCAGAGTAAATAGAGAACATGTTTTACCTTCATTTTCACTTACAGGATATGCAAGTGAAAGCTGTTCTTTTTTTAAATCCCAAGAGGAAGTAAAAACTGGTTTTTTAGCATTGACTACAGCTGCTTTGAAAATTATGGCAACAATCTAAGTACATGTACAGACTAAAAAGTCATTACAAAATCAAATGCTGTAAGTTCAAAAGTCTGAGCCTATTTTTATGAAGGACATGCTGCTGGTTTGCTACACAGAGCAGTCTAACACTTGTGTGGCAGCTTGTGCATTATGGCAGCCACCCCTGGTATATGGTGCATTATGTGTCTGTGTGCTTGTGTTTAAAATAATGACAGTTGTTGCTTTTGTTGTTGTGTTCCTAATGAACAGTTTTTCTCTGCCATTCAGTTAACTTTTACTTTTAAAAAATAAGTTTCTACCACTTTCAAAACTGAATTTTCTCTCTCTCTTTGTTTTTCTAGATTTTGATGGCTGCATTGCCTATCTGAAATATGGTGAAGAAAGTCTTCCCTTCATAGGAAAACACAGCCTTGCCACTATATCAAAAACAGACCCCTCTGTGAAGATTGGTTGCCGAGGGCCCAATATCTGTGCCAGCAATCCCTGTGGGGGAGAATTAATGTGCATTAACCAGTGGCATACTTACAAATGTGTGCCTCCTGGAGCCTGTGCCTCCAGCCCCTGTCAGAATGGTGGCAGCTGTGAACCTGGAGAGAGAGCTGGATTTGTATGCAGCTGTCCTGAAGCTTACAGTGGAAGGACATGTGACATTATAGTGGCTTGCCTTGGCATCATGTGTGCCCATGGGCATATATGTAAGGGAGGAACAAATGGAGGCCATCTATGTGTCCCTCAGCCTTATCCAGCTGAACTTTCCTTGCCATTGTGGGCTGTTCCTGCCATTGTTGGCAGCTGTGCTACTGTGCTGGCCTTGCTTGTGCTTAGCTTGATCTTGTGCAACCAATGCAAGGGAAAGAAGGCAAAAGTGCCAAAAGAGGAAAAGAAAAAGGAAAAGAAAAAGAAGGGGAGTGAGAATGATGCATTTGATGACCCTGATAACATCCCACCTTACGGCGATGATATGACTATTCGGAAACAGCCTGAAGGAAACCCTAAGCCTGACATAATTGAAAGAGAAAACCCATATCTTATCTTTGATGAGACAGATATACCACACAACCCAGAGACTATACCCAGTGCCCCTCTAGCTTCCCCCGAACCAGAGATAGAACACTATGACATTGACAATGCAAGTAGCATTGCTCCTTCAGATGCAGATATCATTCAGCATTACAAACAGTTCCGAAGCCATACTCCTAAATTTTCAATCCAGAGACATAGTCCATTGGGCTTTGCCAGACAGTCACCAATGCCCTTGGGAGCAAGCAGCTTAACATACCAACCTTCCTATAGTCAAGGCCTAAGGACAACATCCCTAAGCCATTCAGCATGTGCTACACCCAACCATCTTTCTCGTCATAGTCCTGCTCCATTTTCCAAATCATCAACTTTCTACCGAAACAGCCCAGCAAGGGAAATGCATCTTTCAATGAGAGAAGGGAGTCCTTTGGAAATGCATAATGATGTCTGTCAAACAGGCATTTTTAACTATCCTACTAGATTAGGGAGAAGAAGCAAGAGCCCCCAAATGATGGGAACCCATAGTTCTAGGCCAGGAAGCCGCTTAAAGCAACCAATAGGACAGCTGGAGAGTGGTCCTCCTGTAGGACTCTCCATTGAAGAAGTGGAGAGGCTTAACACACCACGGCCTAGAAATCCGAGTATCTGTAGTGCTGACCATGGAAGGTCTTCTTCTGAAGAGGACTGCAGAAGGCCTCTGTCAAGAACACGAAATCCAGCTGATGGCATTCCAGCTCCAGAATCTTCATCTGACAGTGATTCCCATGACTCTTTTACATGTTCTGAGATGGAGTATGACAGGGAAAAACCCATGGTATACAGTTCTAGAATGCCCAAATTATCTCAAGTAAATGAGTCAGATGCAGATGATGAAGACAATTATGGTGCCAGGTTGAAGCCGAAGAGATACCCAGGCCGCAGAGGAGAGGGTGGTGGGCCTGTCGGTGCACAAGCAACACCACCCACCATTCAAGACAATGCATCACCTTTAAAAGTTGGGCCACACAGTGGGAACTTCAACTGGGACAACCTTTTGAACTGGGGCCCAGGATTTGGGCATTATGTTGATGTTTTTAAAGATTTGGCATCTCTTCCAGAAAAGACAGCAGCAAATGTAAATGAAGAAAGCAAAAATGGTACAACACAACCAAAAGATGGGGAAGCTGAACAGTATGTATAGAACTTGATTATCAAAATAGAAAATCATGGAACACTCAAGCCATTCTACCATTGCAGATAAGAGAAGAACAGACTTCTCTTTTCTTTTTATCCAGGGCCAGTGGTTAGGACACTTTTTTTTATAAAAAATCACAATTATGCTGCTGAAATGGATGAGTAAATTTTTGTTCTTTAATTTAATTGGGATTGGTTGAATTTGCTACGTCTGCATGCATTATGTTTCTAAACAAGATATTTGGCATGCAGAGTTTGAAAATAATGTTCTATATTCGTTTGTGATTTTTAAATTAATAATGATCAGTTCTAAAAATGGACAAGACAGTTTATTGTGAAGAGTGTATGTGTACTCAATTTTAATATGTGGTTCTGAAATGCAAACATGTCAAGTACATTGTTTTTGTTGGGAGATATTTGTAGCAATTCTACAGAAGCTGAATGAAGGAACAATTCTGTTGGGTTTCTTTGAAAGTGTGCTTCTTATATCCTGCGGTTGTTCAGATCTGCATACTTTAAAGAACGATAAGCTTGAGTAATGGCTGTTTTATCTTTTTCAATACATGGGGTGCTATAAACCTGCTCAAGCTCATCAGCACTTTAAAATTTTAATTTTTTTTGACAAGGTTGTGTGAGAACTTCTGAATTCTTTTCTTCTTTTCCCCCAACAGAGAGTAGTATTTCTAGTTAGTATGTAAACCAAGCATCATCATCAAACAGTAGTAAAAGATGAAGTCTGTTTAAATGCACACAATACCAAGAATTATTGTACAGTCTGAATTCAATCACTAACCTGGCATAGCCTAGGCCAGGTTATTAAAAGGCCTCCTCAGATGTTGAAACATAACTTCCGAGGTTCCTCACCATTGGATATACTGGCTTGGGTTGTTAGGAACTGAAGCCCAGAAATGTTTTGCAAACATGATTTCCGCCCTGGTCTAAGCAACCATTCAACATCACTGTTCCATTTTTGCCATTTGTAAAAAAAAAGAAGACATAAAATGGCTGTTCTACTTCACGGGAAGCTATATAGGGATTAGTATAATTGTATGTGTTATTGTGAGCACTGCCTTGTCTTCAACACCTTGAAGCAATTTTTTTTGGCTTCATCTCAAAATATTCTATGACAAGTAGCATTTAAAAATTTTAAAATAATGTTGGAAAGAGAAATGATTGCTTTATTCAAACAGGAGACAGTCTATAAAAATAACCATATTGTATCAGTTATGAATGGCACAGGAACCTCTTTTTCTTTTAAAAATGCACAATGCAACAGGGGAAAAGTAACATTCTCTACGTGTACACATGCATCATTCATTATACACATATGTTTTGGACTCAGTATCCCAACCCAAGTGCAAAACATTTAAAAAGTGTCCTGGTTTTGAAGGGAAATCCTGGTATGTTAAAATTTCTTGTAGAAATACCACATATTTCCATGAAGCTCCTATTGTACTGTGTAAAAAATGGGATTTTGGTGAGATTTTTTCTCTCTCACTTTCCTTTTCAAGATAAACATGTGTTTTTGGTATCAATATTTTCCTATACTGAATTGTTTTCTTACTTTCAGGGAAAGTAAGAAAAATGCTTTTTTTTTACATTTGTTACTTATGTAACATTCATATTTTCACATTTTGATAAAATTGTAACATACCGTATTCTTTTTATGTGTAAATGCCAATAATAGAATTAAAATATTTATTTAAAATGTCTGGTGTGCAGAAGTAGAGACGCCTTGGCCTCATGCATCAGTGTTACCTGTTTTTCCTGCATTAAAAAAAATTATCTATCTATCCAGAAATGAAGAAGAGAGAGAGCAAGAAGTTTTCTTCAGCAAGAAATTGATATAAAATGGCCACAATTCTTTTTTTAGATTATGTCAATGAGTGAGAAAACTACCCCATTTTTAAAGTCTTGAGATTGTTTCCTTCCTGTCAATGCATATTTGAGCAAGTTTTTATCACAAACAGAATGAACAAAACCATCTGCACTGGCCAAATTCAGTAGATACAGTTATTCCAAATGTGGAAACAATTATGTTTGCTTCACTATCATCTATATGTTGAAGTAAAGAAACCTGTCAATAAAGAGAAGTGGTAACCTGAATTCAGCAACACAAGCTTTATTGAATACAAAGGGATTAAAAATCAGGTTGGCAAAGTAAACACTAAAAACCCTCTGTCTAAACCGGCAAATCTCCCCGTTTCCCACAGTCATTTAAACAACTTCCTTTCACTGAAATTTTTGAATGTTGCACCAAGCGAAATTCTTACCCCATTCTCAGAGTGCATCTATACTGTAGAATGAATGAACAATGAGCTTAAAATGTAGGCAGTATGGGCTACATATGCTGAAGTACAGAGCAGATCCCTTCTGATCTCTGAATCAAAGCAGGGTCAGCCCCAATTAGTACTTGAATGGGAGGCTTCCAATGAATATCAGGGGTTGTAGAGCAGTGGTTCTCAACCAGATGTTTTGGCCTTCAACTCCCAGAAATCCTAACAGCTGGTAAACTGGCTGGGATTTCTGGTAATTGTAGGCCAAAACACCTGGGGCCTCACAGGTTGGGAACCACTGCTATAGAGCATATTGCAGAGGAAGGAGCTGGCAAACCCTTAAGAAAACCCTATGAAGTTCATGTGGTCATCATAAGTCAACATATGATTTGAAGGTACATACATATTATTTGAAAACTAGCCCTTCCATTAAGCAGCCTTGAGGAAAATACCTCTGATATCTGATGCTCAAGAAAGAAGCAGTGGAACCCACACTTGTTCTTCCTGCAGCCTTAGTACTCTCTTGTGCAACAGGACAGTGTGCAACACTGGGTGTCCTGCACCCATAGAAGGCCCTTTTACCTTCTGATGCGATGTCCCCCCTGCCTTATTTTCATTGAAGGAAATTTCAACTGCCAGACATTACTTTCTATTATTGCTGGAGTAAAAACTTAAAGACGGCTCCTGTACCTTTAAGGGATGTGCAGGAGAGGGAATTTCATCAGGTATAGCTTGTTAAACAGGTTACATGAGAAGTGACATCCATACCTTACCTTCTGTATGTCAAATTGTGTGTGAGGGATCTTGTCCTCCCCCTGAGGCAGCAATATTTTGAACCTTAATCTGGCCTATAGTCATGCCACTTTCTTTCACAATGAAATGTAATGGAAGCTGCTGAGAGTAAGTTTAATGTGTATTTCAGGATGAAGACAGGAATAACTCCATGCAAAGGGGGTGGAGATATCTTCTCACTGAAGTCTGCATTGGGAAAGAAAAACTTACATTTTCTCCAATTCAAAATATTTAAGTTGACTGTTAGATCTAGCTTACCTTCTATGTCATCTTAACCTTCCATTCCTTGAACTCAAGTTATATTTGACTGCTTCAAAAAGTTATTTGTCATGGTGCATGACATAGAGCCCAGTGCCACCACCCCTGGTTCTTCTCTTTCCCAAAAGGCATCAAAAGCAGCTCTTCCCAGTTCTTTCAGAAGCGGTCAATAATTGACTCCAACAACTTTTATTTTGTCTCTCTCTCCACTGCCATTGACATTTGCTTGTGGGTTTAGCTGCCTTTGTTTTGACTTTGTTTTCCCAGAATAGCTGCAAGGGGAAGCAACATGTTGGGTTTTAAGTGACATTCTAGTACTCTAAGGAAGAACAGAGGGCAAACACATTAGAGAATGAGATCTATTTCTTTATAGCTATGACATAATTGGATGTCTACATATCAAAGTGCCTCAACAGTATAGTATGTCTGGAATGTTCTTTTTTGCCCTCAGTAGCTGAGACAATTTAATGAAGATTTGCTAATGTTTTTTCAACAAATAAATTCAATGAGAAGGCACCAGTAAGATTTACAATAATAAGTAGTTTCATTTCTTGATTGCAAAGCTTTGCAGATGAGAGACAGGGTTTCACCAAAATGTGTGGAATCTGCCCAGTTATGGAGATCATAATTTCATCAAATATCTTCCCTTATGTAGCGTAGGGACCTTAATAATAATAATAACAATAATTTTATTTTATACCCCACCTCCATCTCCCTGAAGAGCTCGGGGTGGTTTACAGAGGGACAAGCCCAAGTATTACAAATAAAACAGACACAGTAAAAACAATCAGTAACAACAAATAATAAAAACATTAAAATCATTAAAATGCCCACTGGTAAATTAAAGCACTTTTGTTACCAGTGTCAAGGCTGCATCCTATCAAACTGTGGTTTATAGAGCCATTGGAGCACTCCAGCAGAGAATATTAAATACCTCCTTAAATTCAAATCTCAGAATTCCATAGGATGGAGCAGTAGTAATTGAAGAGGCTTGATTGTGACATCACTGCTTCTTTCCACTGATTCTGAAGAACATTTGCTTGTGATTAAGTCTTAATTAAGTCAATGAGACTTTATTTTGACACACTTAGAATTCCTCTGTTAAATTCTTATTCCTCGCCACAGAAAAGGAAACAGAGTGAAATACTTTTAAAGCAAGGCAAACAAACTCCAACACATAAGGTAATTTTTAATCTGTTAAAATCAGCCTAGACAATAATTTTGCGCCCCCCCCCCCCCATGTGATGAGGAATATTACTCAGTTCCAGGAACAGAAATTCACTTTTTAAATACTTTGAAAGCACATGTTCCCATTTCTTTTTTTAATGTGTTTTTCTTTTTTGGTTTCATCTTTGGTGGAAATTTTTTCCTCATCTTATAAAGAAGTGAAAATTTTCACTGTTCTTGATAGGTTTTTTCTTCCTGATGTGGTGTCTCAATATGCCAAGGATCCCTTTCTCCTTTAGAATCTGGCTATTTCTTTGAATCTCTAAATTAAAGCAAGACACACATTTTCTTGCAATTAGCTTTTCTGAATGCAAAAATACTATTTTCATTGAGACGTTTCACAGACATTTCTTTTCCATTACTAGTGTGCGCCAATCTAATAAAACTTAGTAGGGGGCACATCAGGATCTCTGTAGATGATAGTTCTTGGTGCAAACACCTCACACTGTTGCCCTCAATCCCCACTGCAAATCAAAATGGTAAACTGTACATGCAATGCATCAGGAAAAGTCGGAAGCAACTGAACGAATAAACAACAAAACCTGCAATGCATTCACCCATTGCTATTAATGTTACAGGCCTGTCAATATTAACTTAAAAGTACAGATATAGATACTTGATTCTTCCATCCTTCCACACAAGAATGAGAAATTTGGAGAGTGTTTCTCAGCGCTGGAAGAAAGATTTGTGTATGGTTTTTTATTAACAATTCTTTACATTTGGGGGGTTTAGTGAAATTTTCACTAGCATTACTGCTGGGTGTGTAAAAATTCGCAATTTTGCTAATAAAAATCCAGGGGAGGAGGTTGTAAAAATCCCAACTTTGTTAGAGTGCTATTTTCTAAACAAAAATAGCTTTTTGAGTGAACATTGATTAATGAAATATTTTGTCAAAAATGAATTATGAAAAAATTCACTGTGGTTAACCTTTTTTTAAAAAAAGAGCTTATCAAAGATTCAGAAGCAATTCAAGTATTTTTTCATCTTATTTTCACAGCTAATTTTTCTCTCAAGGAAAAGTGATTGCTGATGTATAATTTGATCTTTAATCATAATTGAAAACTATGGTGTTCTAATTCGTTTTTTGTTTAAGAGGAACACCAAGTTAGTTTCATCTACATTGGGGTGTCGAAAGGCCCTGACTCCAATTTATTGCTAAACTCGTGCAGCAGTGCCAGGGAAATAATTTGGACAGTGCAATAAGAATAATATCACTCAAAGAGGCGCAATGGAGTTTTGCAATGGCACTGAGCTCTGGAAGACCAGAAAGGATAAATAGTTCTGTGTTTCTACAGCTGCAGACTGCAATAAAAGATGCTGTTCCATTCTTCTATTCTTCTCCTTGGGAAAAAAGGTGCCTCCCAGTGACCTAGATTTCTAGGGACTCTGTTTCTTCATTATAATGATCTCATGACTAGAGAGACAGAAGCAAGATGCAAATTGCCTAGTGAGCAAATTTACTTTTATTAGAAGGGGAATGTTCTCAGCATTTGCCAGGCTTGCAAACTGATATGGCAAATACAGCCAGTGAAAGAGAAAAAAACCCACACACGCTCAGATTCCAAAGTGAAGTCTCCGTAAATCAAACCATTAAACAACATGTGGTCAAATGCTTGTTTCATGACTATTCTGTCTTTTTGTGCAAACCTCCTCCATCCTTTATACTTTCTTCCCCTCCCATTACTCTAACAACACAAGCATCAACCAAAGATAAGATTTTAAAACTTGATAAGAGTATAAATTGTAACGTTTTCCCTACATAGGGAAGTGTGGGGGAAGAATTATAGTTCTTCATTACAGCAAGGTTATCAAGTGCTAGAGCACAAATTCTGAAATGTAATGTTACATAGGGTTGTGTTTCACTCTCTCAGTCTCAGTATTTCTTCCTGACCACTCCTTCCCAAATATCAGTAATATGTGGGGTTTGTAATTCTTACAATAGCACTATTTTTGTAAAGATAACAAAAATATAATGTGTGAGGCTACTTTTAGCATTCAAATTCATTAAAGTGTTAAGTAAATGTATATATGAAGTGAAGTGCACCAAGAAGAAGGCAAACTGTGTGTCTGCTTATTTAAAATATGTGATATTTTCAATTGATGTTTTATTGTTTTATCCCACTCCCACCCTCCCCTCCTTGTACATGCAATTTAT